TTTGAAAAGGCTCCCACTGAGAACAAGCCAAGTAACAAGAACATCAGCCAGTGCTGTTCAGCGAGGAGCTTTGTGTCTTGCTGCTGGGAGAATTTTTGCAAGTTTATGCTCGAGTGTAAATGGATAAATGATTTGTCTGAAATACCATCTCCTGTTGTGCCTGGCTTCTCCCGACAAACCCCCCATTTCAGGCTGCCCAGAGAGAAGCTGGAAAAAAGGATTCATGGCCTTTTGGAGAAAGTGCACCACGCACTTCAGCGCGACCTGCGCCATTTGCCAAGTTATGCAAGATAAACATGATTTAAAATGCAGACAACAGAGCCTATTCTTCTCTCCAAGGCATGGGGTATTTACGGGAGCAAGTAACTTTAATGCTAATGGACATGCTGGGCAATAACACAACTTAGCACCTGCAGGGAGTAATTGCCATCTGAGAATCAAGAAGGGGAGAAGTACCATTATCCCTGTTTTACAGAGTCATAGGTTCTAAGGCCCGAGAGGCCTACTGTGATCATCTAGTCCGAGCTCTATAGCACAGGCCCGAGAACTTCCCCACAATAATTCCTGTTTGACCTAGAGCAGATCTTTTAGAAAAACATCCAGCCTTGATTTTAAAATTGCCAGTGATGGAGAATCCACCACCACCCTTGGTAAGTTGTTGCAATGGTTAATTACTCTCTCTGTTAATTACTCCCACTGCCTGATTTCCAGTCTGAACTTGTCTAGCTTCAACTTCCATTGGATCTTTTTATACCTTTGCCTGTTAGACTGAAAAGCCCATGATCAAATATTTGTTCCCTGTGTAGGTACTCACAGACTGTGGTCAAGTCACCCCTGAACCTTCTCTTTGTTAAACTAAATACTTGAGCTCTTCGAGTCTTATCACTATAAGGCACGTTTTCCAGTCCTTTAATGATGCTTGTACCTCTTCTCTGATCCCTTGCCAATTTATCAACAAACTTCTTGAAATGTGGACATCAGAACTGGACCCAAAAATCCAGTAGTGGTTGCATCAGTGCGAAATACAGGTGAAAAACCTTTCTACTCCTATTCAGTCGTCCCCTGTTTATGCATTCAAGGAGTATTTCAGCTATTTTGGCCTCGGCATCACACTGGGAGCTCATGTTCAGCTGATTATCCACCATGACCTCCAAGTCCTTATCCCAGGAACATGTAAGTATGGTCTACGCTCTTTGTTCTAGATGTATATATTTACACATGGCTGTATTAAACCACATATTGTTTGTTTCTGCCCAGTTTACCAAGAGATCAGATCACCCTGTATCTGGTGCCTGTCCTCTTCATTATCTAACACTCCCCCAATTTTTGTGTCATCTGCAAACTTTAGCAGTGATGAGTTTATGTTTTCCTCCAGGTCGTTGAAAAAAAAAAAAAAGTTAGATAGAGTAGGACCTAGAACAGATTCCTGTGGGACCCCACTGAAAACACACCTAGTTCACCCAGATTCCCTGGTTACAATTACATTTTGAGACCTGTCAGTGAACCAGCATTTAATGTGTGCCATGTTGATTCTGTATCACTCTAGTTTATTCACCAAAATTGTGTGTGGTAGCAAGTCAGATAAGGAAATCCGAGCTGTCCATAGACACAGCCGACAGTGGCTGGTTCAGGAACAGAATGCTAGGAGGGAACATTTTGGTCAGCTGTGTACAGAGAGCTATGTGGGTAAAGCCATGGGCACCCTACCCTTTTTAATTATAGTTGTATGCAGTGCCTGAGAGCCCCCGTCAGGGAGCAGGACCCCATTGTGCTCAGGGCAGTGCAAACCCAGAACAAAAATACTTTCTTCTGCTGTCATTTTGTTACATCTAGGAGAGGTCGATCCAGCCAAGCCTTTTTCGTTGGGAATAATTCAACATAGTACTTAGCGGTGAATTTTGCTGGCAAGGTTACAGCTCACAGGGAGGAGGATGAATCATAGCAGATACAGCTGAGCCCGCTCAGGCCATGCAGTTGAAAAGCCAGCAGTGACAGAGCCTCACTGCTTTCCGCAGCAAAGGAATGGAGCTTCGTTACTATAAGCCCTGGAACTAGTCAGTGAAATATGGAGGCATAGCCTAAAACCAGAGGGCTACAGGGGACTACTGAAAAGCTGCTGTCTATCACCCTCTGCAATGACAGCAGAGCAGGAGAGCACCTCGCAGGCCAAGTGCAGGGAGTAGCCAAAACGACTGCAAAAGGAGAGCAGACCTTCCCTTCTGCAGGCTGTGGCTGCTGAGCTCTCTGTGACCGATTCACACAGTACCACAGTGCACTCCTTCTGTCACGCTGCAAATCCTATTTACCGTGCAGAGCAATGACCCAGCTCCAGTAGAAATACGTCCGAGGCAAACTAACCCCCGCCTCAGAACTGTCCTGTGCTGCTGCAACTCCAGTCTCGCCCAGGCATGTTCTCGCACTTCACAAGCAAGGCGGGTTTGGTCGAACCCTCCTGAAAGGGACAGCTCTGGGAAGCCAGCACTCCCGCAGACATGAGGCCTGGCCGTCCAACCCGGCAGATCCTGGGGCCTTGTGAGACAGGGGATAGAGGCAGAAGTAATGGACAACTCCCACCAGGAATGGCTTCCGCTCCTTGCTAGTGCTTGGGCCCCCGCTCCCCTGGCAATGAGGCTCCAGCAGGAGCCAGGCTGCCAGTGGAGGCGTCTCTCATGGCCGTAGAGTAGCAGAGTCTGCTGGTTGCAGCATTAACTCCCAGTGGATGCGTCCCAGGGGCAGCTGGCCGCAATGCCTTCTAGAGAAGCTGGTCCCTGGATCCACCCTTCCTAATTCCCACTGTGCACCCACAAAGGGATCTTTGTAGAGCACGGGGAGCTGCTGCAGAGGGGACAACATGGCCCTAAGTATCCCCTGCATACCTGGGCAGCTTCCCAGATTTCTGTCTCTCCAGTGTGTGGAAGAGAGAGCCCCATGCATCAAAACCTCTACCCAAGCCTTGCAGCTTTTCCCAGCACTCAGTTCGGCTATGAAATAGCTGTGAGCCAGGGCGAGAGCAGGGGCCAGCTGCATGACCAACATAAAACACTTTAATAACCTGCTTATGGCATTTCACTGCTAAGAGCAATTTTAAAACAAACGATCATTCACTAGGGGAAACAACAGGAAAGCTACATCCTACTGCTCTGTCCCAGTGGCCTCTCTCTACATTCTCTTACTGTAGAAGCGGATGGCAAGACAAGCTTCTCCTAATGATTTCACTTAGCTGTTTGTTGAGTACCGACTACTTTTCCCAGCAAGAGCACGTATGATCCTGCGCTGGCAGGGAGATGACGCAGGTGCAGTTACAGAGCTTTCCCTCCCCAGTACACTATACTGCTTGCTTTTGCCAAAGGTAGGAACATGAATGCTCAAGAAACCACTTCAGGGGTTCACTCTGTCTGGGGACTGAAGCTGAAGACCAGCAATAGCATGTGCAAAAGGATGAGAGAAAAGAGCTCCCTTTTGCTCGACAGCACGTGGTCTGAGCTATTTCAAAAGGGTGGATACACAGACATCTGCTGTGCGAAGGGCCATGTGGGATTCCATCGCTGGCAATATTTTCAACTGTTTTTTTCTCCCTGCCTCTGTTTTCCTTGTAAGAAGCCAACGAGCCGAGTGCTACTGACTTATTCATTTGTCATCTGCACCGCTGCAGAGTACGAGATCCTTCAGTGCAGATTAAAACAAATTTGCCGAAGAGAAATTGGCTCCATTTCTCCAGAGACCAAAAAGGGTGGGGCTGGATTCCCTGCAGAGGGGAAATGGGAGAAAGTTAATTTCCCCTGTGACTCTTCCGCTACTGAACAATAGACAGCAAGGAGGGGGAAGGGAAGTGTCATACAGAAGAGCAGGGAAAGTGGCTATTTCTGCAGCGAAGGGATGTTGGTAATTTGGAAGGTAGAAGGGAAAGGGAGAGAGCGTTCATTAATTACCGTAGGTAACAGAACTGTACAGAGCTTGCTGTTTCCTTGGCAGCCTGGATCATTCCTAAGCCCAGAGCTCCCAGTGAAATCGATGAACGTGTAACTCAGGGCAGCATTTGTTTCTACTATATTTTGAAGTAGTACAATATCCTGGATCTGTCATATTGTTATGACTACTTAGAAGTTAGTAGCAGTTAGCACAACCAGGAAATGCTTAATAGCATGCACTCTTAGCACTTAAAGCTTTTTGCAAAATTAGCTAAGCCCCAAGCTCTCTAAGAGGTAGGTGGTGTTATCCCATTATATAGATGGTGAAACTGCATCTATGCTTGCAAACTCCATAGCCACAATTCTCCATCAGTACAGCTCCCACCCATGATAGCACCAGCGGAAGCAACAGCGTACATATGGATCTGAGTGGGATTAGACAACAGGGTGATACAAATGCACAAGCACAACTGGAGACCTGTCGATCCTGCAGCCTCCTCTGTTGCTCTCAATGGAAGAGCAGTACTGGAGGTGAGAAAGTGTCTTTGCCAGCAAACAGCGTACGTCAGGGAGGTTAAGTGACTTGGCCGAGGCCACAGCGCATCAGTGGCAGAGGCAGGAGTACAAACCAGGAATCCTGACTCCCCATTCTGTACTCTAACCATTAGACAGAACTCCCTGAAACCACTGAAAGTAGCCTGACTTTCTCCAGCTTTCACAACAGTTCAAATTCAGGTTTGGGTTTGGGTCTTGGGTGAAGTTTCTGGTTTCATCCAACCCAAAGGAGCTGGATCATTTGTGTTCAGCAGAAAAAGGATCGCAAAGCACTCTCGCTTAGTTGTGAAGGTGTTTCACATCCCAGTAGCCATGTGCTCACTACCAGACATCTATCACTCACAAAACTCCTTTGAGCAGGGGGCCTGGTTTGCTACCACAGAAGGAATTACTCACAGTGGACTCAACAGGAGTTAAACAAAAAACGAACGCCCCATGGAGACTAGAGTGAGGTTTGTGGGAGATACTGTCACTCTGCTCATTCACACAGCCTGTGCTACTTTCCTCTCTTCCATTGGGAGGGCTAGAAGGACTCACCCATACTTGCAATTATGCTGTGAACAGGCAGCCTGGATGGGCCGTCATAGATCCCTCTCCCAGCAAACCCTTTCTTCTTTTGCTTCTCCTCCTGCTTGAATATGAAGGCAGAGTTCTCCTCCTTGGTGATGTTAATGTAGAAGCAGGTGTCAGACGCCGTCATGATGTGCCGTGGCCCAGGGTTCAGCAGGATGCTCTTGTTCTCTTCCCTCCTGATGCCGATCAAGCAGACGCCATACCTAAGGCAGAAGTACAATGTGGACATTCAAGGCCACTCCCTAGAAAAGACTCTGTTTTCTTTTGCAAAGCTACTGCATGGGCCTCAGTGAACGTTTCCCACCAGCGTCACTGACCCAGCGCACGGAAAATGGAAGCAAATGTAAACTCTCCTCTCACTTTGCAACTTTTCAAACCAATGTCGGAGGGAACTGGATTAATCCAGTCCTCACTGCCCTGCTATTTACCAAGAGAGTTAAATGACCTCGACCCGTGAGACCGGTACCAAAAGCCCCAAGGGATCCCCACACCAAGGCTTCGAGGTACTGAACCAGGCTGGCGCTCACTTTTTGTGTGCGTGGAAGGCAGCGTAGGTGAAGCTTTTCCCTTCGTATTCCATGAAGAACTTGCTGTCTCCCATGCGGATGTGGTATACTTCGTTGCCTGAGCAGCGCCCATACATCCTTTGCCACTGCTCCGGGGACTCCTGGCCTTCTCTGTAACCAGAGGAACAGAACCCTGCCTGTTAGGGGCTTGTGCTCAGCTCCACCACCATAGTGCGATCTCACTAGGGTTTTCCCCCCATCACCGTGGTATCGGGCAACTTCCTGGAAGGCCAGCATGCTTTCCGAGCCCAAACCAAGTGGGGGAGCCTTGTTTAGGTTAAAGCTGGTCTTGTGGGAATTATGGGCCCAGTCCAGATGGGCCCTTCCAAGGATGTGTCAGTGGGGAAGCTGGTGGCCAGGAAGGGAATTGCAGGGGGGAATTGATGAGCCTGCGCCTTCAAAATCCATGCCTAAAGAGTCAGGCTCGGCAGGCCCTCAGCAGCGAGAGGTGGGTGCTGTGTTTGCCACCCCAGACTAAAGTGAAGGGCATCTGAACACCTCTGCCCCCGACCCAACTGCTCCATGTGTCACGCAGATTATTGACAACAGCCTCCTGGAATGACTGAAGACGACCCAAAGTTTGCTCTGCTGTCATCCTGTCTCATAGGACAGTCTCTGTCCCTTTAACACAAGATCATTCGTTCTCTCAAGGCAGATTTAAGTCAATATAGATCCAGATCTAAAAACTTTGTAGCTCAGGCCCAATCTCTATTTTTAACCCAATGCAAATGTTAAGACGACAACCTCAGAGTGAAGAATGTGCAAAAATCATTCCCACAAACAGAAGCCAGTTCATGACTAAAACGGCAGCACTCACTGGCCCCTGGATGTATGAACCAGCAGGGTGATGAGCGTGGAGGTTGCTGGGCAGACGCAGTTCAAAGCCAGCATGGCGTATTTGCACTCTTCCTCGCAGACCACATGATCTGAAAGTAAAGAGACAGTGCAATTGTTTCCCACTGAGCAGCACTTTCATTTTTCCAATTTACACACCTCCTACAACGTGTAATGTCCCAAGGATGATCTTCTAGCTAGCCAGTTGCTATGCATGGGAGGATGGCGGGGGAGGGGGTGCACAGCAGGCATGGCTATTTGAGGATGCTGGAGATCATTTGTTTTATGTTCCAGTCCCTGTGAAGTCTGCGCAGATTGATTAAGCACAGAAGGGGCCACAGGGAAAAACATCTTGTTTCCAGTATGTACCATAGATGTTTTCAACTAATCAAAAACCCATCCTTGATGACACATGGGGAGCAATGAAAACGAGAATAAATGCAGGGAGGAAAGACAGATTCACAGAATGGAAACCTGACAAGTAAACAGAACCCAATCCAGACACTGCCCACCCCCAAAGGCAGAGTAAGGGGAGAGGGATGAATTTCAAACCCCAGGGTCTGGTCCATATTCATTCTATGAAGGACGAGGTAGCACACTGACAGCCTGATGAGCTGTACTCAATCTCAAGTGTTCTCTTTCAAGAAAAAAATGGATCATTGTCCAAAAAAATAATAATCTGGTAACATACTTGAATTTAGGCCCAATCCTGCCACTGATCCCACATGGTCATTTGAGGGCAGAGAGATGGCAGAATTCACAGTCCAAATTATGCAAGTTTATCATGGGGATAAACAAACGCTCAGAAAAGAAGAAAAGCTCTCTCACTTCATTGTAATTTCCCTGATCACAGATTCTAAACTGTTCTGTACTTTACAACACTGTCGAACCTACAATCCCATTTCGGGACATTCCCCAGGAAAACACTTAAAAGACAAGGACCATACCTAAAAATACAAACACGACATTTTTAAAAGGTTTTCAGAAACTTTTGGCAAGGTTTAAAAGTTTGGTTGTATTTTGAATTGGTAGATATGTATCTGCCCTTCCTCATAATGGTCCAGGGGGACTATTCTGCCAGTGACTTAAATCCTTGACTCACATTAGCATTACTAGATGTAGGAACATAAGAACTGTCATAGTGGGTCAGACCAAAGGTCCTTCTAGCATGGTATCCGGTCTCCAACAATGGCGAGTACCAGAGCTTCAGGAGGTGTGTACAGAACAGGGCAGTTGGAGTGATCCACCCTGTCTTCTCCCAGCTTCTGACAGTCAAAAGGTTTAAGGTCACCAGAAACATGGGGTTGCATCCCTGGACATCTTGGCTAATAGCCATTGATGGACCTGACCATCTCTAGTTATTTTCTTTTAACCCAGTTATATTTTTGGCCATTGCACCATCCCATGGCAATGAGTTCTACGGGTTAATTGTGCATTTATGTGAAAAAGTACTTCATTTTGTTTTTATTAAACTCACTGCCTATTAATTTCATCTGTTTTTCTTTTGTGGGAATGGTTAAATAACATTTCTTTATTCACTTTCCCCACACCATTCATGGTTTTATAGACCTCTAGCATATGCCACCTTAAGCGTCTCCTTTCTAATCTGAACAGTTTAATCTTTCCAGTCTCTTTTTGTACAGAAGTTGTTCCATCCCCTTGATCATCTTTGTTGCCCTTCTTTGAACTTCTTCCAGTTCCACGATGTCCTTTTTGAGATGGAGCAACCAGAACTGGACCCAGCAATGAAGGTGAGGGCACACCATGAATTTATATAGCGGCATTATGATATTCTCCATCTTATTTTCTATCCCTTTCCTAACAGCTCCTAACTTTCTGTTTGCCTTATCAGTGTTGACTGGCATTTGCCAGTTTGCTGCCCAGTCACCCAGTTCTGGGAGAGCCCTCTCTTCACAATCAGCTTTGGACTTAATTACCATGAATAATTTTGTAACATCTACAAACTTTGCCTCTTCACTGTTCACCACATTTTCCAATTCATTAATGAATATGTTGAATAGGACTGGTTCAAGTACAGATCCTTGGGGGACTCCCTTGCTTAGCTCTCTACATTATAACACCTGACCATTTATTCCTACCCTTTGTTTCCTTTCTTTTAACCAGTTGCTGATTCATCAGAGGACTTTCCCTCTTCTCCCATGACTAATTAGTTTCCTTAAGAGCCTTTGGTAAGGGACTTTGTCTAAGGCCTTCTAAAAATCCAAGTACATTATATCGATTGGATCACTCTCATCTTCATGCTTGTTGATGCCTTCAAAAGAATTCTAATAAAACGGTGAGGTATGATTTCTCTTTATAAAAGCCACATTGCTTCTTCCAACAAATTCTGTTTATCTACATGTCTGATAGTTCTGTCCCTGACTATTGTTTCTACCAATTTGCCCAGTCCCTAAGTTAGGCTTTCCAGATCACCTCCAGAGCTCTTTTTTATTAAATTTAATTCCTGTGCTGTAACAGGTAGAGGATGGATATCCTAAAATAGCTGCTAGAAGGACCAAGAAACTAGAGTAGATCAGGGCAGTGGTGACACCAGCAGTGAGAGGTTCAGACTGGTGGCTGGAAGAAACACTGGAACCCATTGGTGGTGAGTAGCAGCGAATATTTGGGAACATCTGTAGATTGGTGGCTGTGTTCAGCAATAAGTCTCCCCTCAGGGTTCCTGGTGTGAGTAAGGCAGGCGGATCTGGCCTTCCGGGGGAAGCCCATATCTGCTCACACCAAACTCACCCGCAAACTTGACATGAAACTTGTTTTCAGGCTTTAGAATCTGAACGTAGAGGGGGCAGTTGGGCGCAAAATCCTTCACAGCCCAGGCTCTCAGGATGGTCTGATGGTCCTGATGAAAGAGAAAGGCAAGAGCAACGCTATAAGCATCTCTCTGGCAGCTGGGTAGGTTCCAGCACCTCCATGTTTTGGGCTTAATTCACAAGCAATAGTGCCTTGTGATCACAGAGAAACAAGCATGGGCAGGTTCACTGCAAACACCCAACCCTCCCAAGCTGCCCCTCCAGAACAAATGTGGAGTCTGGAAGTGAAACAGGAAAAACAGGAGTTCAGTCTAGGATTTGCACATTTCCTGCAGGGTCCTTTGAATAGCGCAGCCTTAACCTCCTGATATCCCAGATCAGTAACTGATTTGCTATATACACAGAATCTGACAAAGGCCATACACACCAGGTACATGTTGGAATCTGAATCATCCCAATACCAGCACAGAGGGTTACACACCTGCCCACCTCCCCAGGGATCTGATGAGAAGATATGCCTGAAATCTTGGTAAATAATTCAATATGAACATGCATCCAATGAAGTGAGCTGTAGCTCACGAAAGCTTATGCTCAAATAAATTTGTTAGTCTCTAAGGTGTCACAAGTACTCCTTTTCTTTTTGTGGATACAGACTAACTCGGCTGCTACTCTGAAACCTGTCCCCACTACGTGAGGAGTGCCACCCTATGCTTAACTTGTTCTGTGGCCACTAGTCAAGGGCGGGTTCCTCCCTGGCTAAAGAAACAGACCTAGAAGGGGTCCTAAAGAGACCCTGACTTTCACTCTGCGGGTCACTTCCTCCCACATCAACCTGGTGTGTCCTTCCCCAGGCATCTCTGTTCATTCTCCAACCAGAGGGCAGCCGGCAGACCATGCCTCTCATTTAGCTCGTTCCAGTGACGTATTCAAACCGTATCGTCATTTCCCTCCAGAGTTTGTTAGACGATGCGCTTAAATTCAAGTGATTGAACCCCAGACCTCTTGATCTTAACACACAAGCTTCTACTGCCATCTCTGTTAGCAGCCTTCTCATCAATCTCTGTGTTACCAATTTGTTATTGCAACGGTTTTAGTAAGGTTTGAATTGATTCAGTAATTAAAGAGTACATTTCCATGAAAAATCCACACCCCTGAGAGATGTAGCAATAGTGACCTAACCTTTGGATTACATAGCACTAGGGGCCTCTCAGGGAGGTGGATTACCTACGCCAACAGGAGACCCCTCCAGGCAGTGTAGTCAGTGTCTACACAGAAGCGCTACAGCGGCACAGTTACAGAGGTGCAGCTGTAGTGTTTGAAGTGTAGACATAACCTGACAGGAATCGGATCAGCGCAGAGTTTCACAGAGGAAGTAAAGAGTCACTTGACCAGACAAACACACCAAACTGCCCAAAGGAAACATGATGCACTTTACGTTTCATTTTAAAAACATACAGAAGAGCAGGCTAGGCAGGGACTGTCTAGAGTCACCTGAGTGTGTCTACGACATGGGAGAGGGGACCACTGTTCCCTCTAAACTGTGCATGCACACACAGATCCTAAACCCCGTGCACATGGCAAAACACCACACACACAAAAATTTGCACAGAAGAAATTTTTTGCGCACACGGCCTGTCAAAAATTAGAGGGAACATTGGAGGGGAGTCACCTGACTCCACAGACAGATGTTCAGGCTATTCCCTGAACCATGGGGAGTGGTTACCCTACGCCTGTTCTCTGTAACGTTACATCTACACTGCAATAACACCCCCCCACACACACACACAACACTGGGTCTTGGAGCCTGGATCAGCTGACTCAGGCTCGTGGAGCTGAGGCTGCAGGGCAAAAAGTAGCAGTGTAGATGTTTGGGCTTGGGCTGGAAGCCTGGAAGGGGTTGGGTCTCTGAGCTCAAGCCCAAATGTCTGCACTGCAATTTTCAGCCCCAGCCAGAGTCAGCTGATCTGTGCCAGCTGTGCCGTGGGTCTTTTATTGAAATGTAGACGTACCTGACCTGAAATCTCCCAGCTCCCTGTTACAAAGGTGCCATGCAGGCCTAGGCACAGGGTAGCAAGGACCTTGGCACATTGATGTTGATTAGAGATGAAATTTCAGCCTTCAGAGGCTCTCTCAATGGGGAACTCTAATGCAGAGACTCTGGATCCATTGAGAGCAGCTCCTCATTTCTGAACGATTTCCATTGACGTTTCTGGTGATTCACACAGGGCCAAACGGTGAAGTCTTTATTGTCTTCTTACTCAGGAGTTAGCCTGGCAGGAGAACGCCTTGGGGACCTGGCCCATTGGCAGGTTTTTTCAAGCTCACGTGTTCTCTCTCATGACCCTCTTCCCCTTCCCTGTGGCCGTGGCAAAGTCACAGTCCTGACCTGATGGCAGCCCACACACTTGCATGGTAACCGTGACTGTAAACTGGTCTGTGACCTCACTGTAAATCCCAGCTAACGCATCTCTCTTGCCCCATGGGAACATAAAGCCAACAAGAGTTCACTACTCGACAGGGACGTTCTGCTCTTCCCACCAGGGGCTACAGCCCATTCAGGCCAATAGTGGGAGCAAAGGTTCAGTCCAGAATAAAAAGAGACAGAGGAGAAACATGTCCTGGAACCACACAGAACAGTCTGCAATTGAAAAGCCGGTGTAGCTGCAGCTAGCCACACGCGGTCTCCCCAGGCCTGTCTGGAGAAACTGGCCGCACTGCGGCTTTGTTCCAGTTTTATGCATCTCAGTAAATATGCACCAGCCGATGAGACAATCTGACACACAGAGACCATCACGAAAGCAGCAAGACCAGCAAATAGGAACATGGGAATCTTTTCAGCAATACGGACACAGCCCCTTGGCACACGCATTAACATGGAAAAACACCGTGGGTGCAGAATGCCACCATATTTTAATGCAGTGGTTCTCGTCCTTTGCCATACTAGGACCCCCTTTGCATACCAGCATTCCCCCACCCCCAAGGACTATCCGTTCCATCCAGCCAGGACCTCTCTCTTATTTAGCACTCGGGGGAGAGCTGAGTGAGTTGTGACCTCCTGATAGCTGTTTATGGCCCATCCCCGCAGGTCGTGATCCCTGGGTTGAGAACCTCTGTTTCAATGCACCCCGCTTTAGATGTGGGTCTGACTCATTCTGGTGGCAGGCATTTGGGTATGGAGTCAGCCCCTGTGGTCAGCCCCTCTGGTCGCACAACTAAATTGGCCCCCAACCTCTCAGATTGCTCTTCCCAGCCTCAGTGTCTTGTGTTGTTGTATCATGATCTCTTTGCCACCTGGCCCTTCTTGTGGAAAATCCCACCAGCTGTGATCTAACTTTCCACCTAGTCTCCTTCCCACAGCTTTATCTGGGCACGGTAAGAGACCCCACACTTCAGAACATGCATTTCATGATCACCGTCAGATACCTCAGTTCCTAATTCCAATTTCTTTAGGCCTCTCTTCTTGGGTATTTTTTCCGCTGCATGCAGGGTGGGGATGTTTCTAGCTCACACAGTTCAAGGTGATCCCCAAAGCCCCAGCTCTGCCAATCCCAGCTTATGCACCATGAACACAAATGACAAAAGCATCACAAGGCAGCAAAATGTCACCATGGCCTGCCTGGCTGGGGAGCGGTAGACAGCCTGTCGCTAAATGCGCCTGTTGTTTTTGACACTTAGGAGAGAAACATTGGCATTACCATACTGGCTCACACTAGGACTCCCTCCAGTCCAGTATCTCTGTCTTCAAGAGCAGATGCTTCAGAGGAAAGAACAAGAATCCCTGCCCTAGGAAGGGATGGGATAACTTGCCCCAGGCAATGTAAATTAGTATTAGCATTGTAAGTTTGTTAGCACCTATAACCAGAGGTCCAGAGATCAAAACCAGACTCTGCTAACTGCCACCTCCTTTCGGAGGGAGGGTCTTTGGCATGGGTTATGCAGGAGGCCAGACTAGATTATCATGGTCCCCTCTGGCTTTAACAGCTATGAATTGCCAATAAGCCCAGCCCTGTCTTACCGCGGCCGTGCGGTCCGCCTCGTTTCGACTGCTGAGAATGAAACAGGCCTCTCCGTTATCCATCCTGAAAACACAAAGGGTTCTGTGAATCACGCACAGCCAGGGAGCTTGTTCATCTGACATGCAGTCAGCTAGAGAGTCTCCTGGCCTGGTTTCTGGGTGGTCAGAAAAGATGGCACACGTGGGCACTGCTAACGTTTGCTAGGAATCAGCCCTCCTTCCCATCCCTGTCACATTACAAGAAGGAGCAGAGGTAACCTGCAAGAAGGCCATTTCATGCTGCTGTTAGTAAATATGTAGCAAATTAAATACAACAGACTGGGAACAGCAGGGGTGTTATAAAGGGCCTGATCCCAGTTGTACCAATCAAACCATGTGCATACTGTTCCCTTGGGGACAGTGACTTGATCATGTCTGTGAGCGTCCTGTGGTTACAGGCTGGTTACGGGCAGGGGGACGCCTCCAGGGGATGCTGGGGTTGGTGTGTGTGTCTGTCACTAGCCAGCACAGAGACAACACGGTTGGTGGCTTGCATAGCTAGAGGCTTTTGGTTTCAGGGAGCTGAGCTACAGCGGGCAGAAATGAGGCTGTTTCACGTGAAGGGCAGGTAGCGGCGAGGTGCCTCACAACCCTGAGTACCTCTGGGGAGCATCATGCCACCCCCCACAGAGGAAGCCAAGAGGACTGCGAGCAGATGGCTAGCTCTCTGCACAGGCGGGTGTGAATGCCACAGAAAGCCATCCAGTATTTCTCCACGGTTTTATTTCAGCAGTGGGAGGACCTGGCAAGGCTCAGGTAATTAAACAAGGGAGCTTCTGGCTCTGGCAGGCGGCAGACATGAAACACTTGGTGAGCAGTGGAAAGCGGCTCTAATTGCCATCATCATCTCTCTGCATCTGTCTTGTCTAGTTCGACTGCAAAGTTAACTCAGGTGATCAGCACACGGGTCGGAGCAGCCACGCTGCAGAGCCAGACTCGAGTGTGCCCACTGACTGCATCCACACTGCCACTGCGCTCCCTCGTGTGAGGCATTAGGACTTCTGGGGCCTATCCCAAAGCTCTTAGCTCTGCAGGAAGCTCAGCCGCTCTAGGATTCTTTCCCAGTGAATTGTGGGAGAACTTGCCTGGCACATGGGTTGGGGGGAATGTGAGAAGGCACTAGAGGACTATCAGTGCTCAAATGGTTAGCCTGCATTTGCATTGCAAAGAGGGCAGGCTACCATGGGGTTAGCCTATACCCCACAACAGGCCAGCTAGCCTGAATGCAAAGCACCAGCATACTCAGGGGAGAGAGTTTTGTATGAAGACAGGAGACAGATAAGGGGCTATAGCCAAGTAAAAGCTGGAGTTAACTCTGCAGTGAACACATGCCCTAGGTTTGTATAGTGCCTAGCACAAACAGTGCTGGTTCTCGGCCAGCCCTAGGCACTGTCGTAATAAACACGATTAATAATAAACGTGCACCAGGCAGGGCAGCAGGGATGGGTCATTGCTTCTTAACATTCTGCATTGGAAAGCAACTCTGCACCAGGATCCTACCCGGACTTGTCGGACACAGGTGGTTCCTTGAGTCACCAGAGATGAGAGAGTCCATTGTATGGGGAGAGCCACACAGAGCAGCACTGGGCAAAGGGAAAGGCCTGCCGAATGTATATACAAATCTGCACAATTATACATGCTAGAACTTGCCTGCTTGAACTGCGCTAGGAGCCTCTGGAAATGCATTTCCCAGGGCTTGGCTGAACTGAGGATTTTTGCACCGGAGTAACTTTATCAAAGTGCTGCACCAGAGCAAACCGCGCAGGTGTAAAAAGTGACTTGCACCTGTGTGGCGTACTCTGGTTTCAGGTGTGTCTACACTAGCGGCTTGCCCCGGTGCAGCTCCTCTGGGGCAAAACCCCTTAGTGAGGATAAGTCTCCAGTCTCCCTTTGTGGCTCTGTGTGGACTGGGGGTGCGGGCGAGGAATGAAACTCACACTTAAAAGACACACAGGTGCCCCTCCAGACACATTTTATCCTGGAAGAGTCCTGGCTGTGATAGTTTCTTGTAAGTGCTCTTGCTCCAGAAATGAGCAATCCACGTGAAATGCACAATATTAAATAGCAAGAAGCTTTACCACATTACTGCACCAAGTTCCCCTGCCCCATGCAGCCCTTACTTGTGTGGGGGCCACATCTCGTTCTAGCTAGCAAATGTTTCCTAATAGTTGGACCAGGGGGCTTGGACTTGCACCTCCTCAACTCCACTTCTGCCCTTACTGCTAACTCAAGTGTGCCCTGGGGCAGGTCACCCAAAAAATAAACACAGAATTAATGTACCTTTCAGGGGCACTGCGAGTCACAATTCATATTTGCAAAGTGCTTTGAGATCCTCAGATCTAGAAGGGCAACTATTATTACCAGTTACTTTACTGGATACAGTTAGAGTTACACAGTTAGTAAAAGCAGGTTCTTTGGGGGGTTTTATTCTCTTTTATTTCTCCAGCTCTTGGGGAGAAGGAGGCATTGGACATCCAGGCTCTTGCATTTCGCAGGAGATGATAAATCTGGGTTTTTGTGGCTCCTGCTGTCAATTTCTAGGACTGGCTGCTGAATCCAGAGATAAGAACAAATTTCAATCCATTATTCTAGGCTCCTTAACAACCAGCTAAGTGTAGAGTTTCTTAAGAGAGTTCTACTGGGGTAGGATTGAATCCAAAAGGAACTAGTAATTGGCAGCCTTTAAAGAATTGTAAAGCCCCAATATTACATTTCCAGTCCACCTCTCAAGGCTTGTTATCCACAAAATGAAGGACACCTAGCTAGAGTTCAATTATCTGAAGTCTATTTTTCAGACTTTTGCAGTGATGGCAGAGAAAACTGACATCTGTGGTGCATGAATCTTTCATGACTGTTTAAACTGGGGTCAGACTAACATGCCAGCCTATGAGAGAATGGTGACAGTGATGTTTAAATGTGGGCTTTACTGTTTGCATCAGTTACTGTTATATCTTGAGCTGTCAGTCCTGAAATGGATGGCCTTAATAAGGGCTTGTCTACACTTGAAATGCTTCCGAGGCACAGCTGTGCCATAGTAATGCTTCAGTGTAGACATACCTACACCGACGGGGTCAGGGTGGAGGGCTTGTCCCGTCACCATAGCTAATCCACCTCCCGAGAGATGGTAGCTAGGAAGAGTTCTTCTGGCAACCTAGCACTGTATCCACTGCGGGTTAGGTCAGCTTAACTACGCCGCTCAGTGGTGTAGCTATTTCACACCCCTGAGTGATGTAGTTAAACCAACTTAATTTTCTAGTGTAAACCAGGCCTTAGTAAGCTGCTTTTCTTCATGGCAGCTTTTCACCTTTGTGTCTGGCTAATGTGAATTGTCCAAATTTTTAGGCAATAGCATACAAAATAGCATGCATTTTAACAACGATGGATTGTAGCCACTGCTTGGAGCTTTGCACTGTAATGTCCAGCATTCCTCTTTTAAAAAACTATATAGCTTAGATTGGCTATTGGGGCCACCCACCAGTGAGAGAAGTTTCCCTGCTGGAGTGTTTTGACTCTCTCATGCTTATCAAGGAAGCTGTATAACAGTGTAAATCAATGCTACATTACAGACATGCACAGTTCTTGCTCTGAATAACAGAGAACACATATGCTGGTAGCCATAATAGGAGTCTTGGAGAGCTATTTCCCTCCAGTACCTCTGTGGGTCTTGCTAGGATTGGCTCTATACTCACTTTGCTCTCATGAGATCCTGATCTTTCAGTGCAGACCCCTGAAGATATATCACTCGCTGAGACCACAGAGGAATCTGAAGGACCCGCCGAACTTGTATATCCATCTCTGTTGGACAAAGTATCACTACGTAGTAATCCTGAAAGAGAAAAGCTAGTGTTTGCTTGTCAGCCTGACAGTAAGATAAGTAAGCTTGGTAAGATCATTTCACTCACCGATTGAGCATGCAATTCTATACAGGTTTCAGCATTACACTATGAATGGTGTGATATCACTTTGCACCAGCGCTGGGATGTCACAAGCATTTGGAAGCACACACAGAGTTTTCCCCAATCACGTTTGCACAATAGCTCTAATGTAAGCACATCTGACAATTGAATTATTAAAAGACTGAACATTTGGCTCAGAAAAGTGGGGCTCTGTGTATTTAGAGAAATTAACAAGACTTAAAAAATGAAATCTATATTGAGCCAAGACTAACAATGACGACAGCGAAATCTTGATTGGTTCTTGAATTAAATGCAAATACAGGGTGCATGTGAGCTACTCTCAATAGTAGTGGGGTGAAAGTTACACCCATTCACTGAAAAACAGTGCTGATTAGACCTGATTATTCCATTAGGAGCTGGGTAAATCATCTGGGGTTCAACAAGCACACATTTTATTTATATAGTATAAGGCATTCAATTCGGTAAACACCTTCTAACATAAAAAACCAACACATTTATATAGGCATATGCAATGTGCTTGGATACTACAGCAACAAGCACTGCAGAAAAACCCAAACTAGCCCCTGTAGAGTGTGTCCACTGTTGTGGCATAGAGGCAGATATGTACTGCAGGCTGTTGAATCTACCAGGACCACTACAACATATATTTCTTCTGTGATGTTTCCATATACTGATTCAGGCATTCTATATAGTGAATTGAAACCAATTACCAGACCATACTGAGGACTAATCTGGTTGAACTGATGTTTTTTACCTCATATGTGTTCCTGTCACATATCCTTTGCTTCCCTCTTCCATGCGCTAAGTGCCGGGTGGTGCTATCATTACCTTCAGCAACGTCTAGCGGCACCGAGAGCTCAGTAAGGATACTTATTAAACTGCTAACAACGGTTGCCCTGAAATAAGACACCACTGCCTTTACCTGCAGCCGGGGATGGGCGTAGAACTCATTCAGAAAGTCCATCAGGAGGTCAATCTTGAGGGAACTGACACAAAGGACAACGTGTTTCTCCGTCTGTGCTCGGTGGCGGCTGTAATTTCCTCCTGATTTCTGACGTTCCATCCAGAGGTACACAAGCTCCTCAAACTGCAAACAAAGGCAGACAGCTTCTGAGGTGGGCTGAATACATTCAAACATTCAGAACACTTTCACGGTTACAAACTGCACATCCATAGTTATTATGTCCCCTGGTTAGCCACATACACCTGTGCAAGGTTAAGAGAGCTCTGAATAAAGGACAGTTGAGTTTATACATGTACAATGTTGTGTGTAATATACAGGAATGTAATCTGTGTTTAATGCTAGGGTGACGGGCATCATGCAAATGCCTGTAAGAGAGAGAGAATGGAGAAGACACAGATAGGGTAGACAGACTGGACACACATGTGTTAACCTATACACCCTCTTGGATATGGGTTGCTTCATTTCAAGAAACATTAAATGACAGACATCCTGAGATTTTCTGTAGCGTACATGCCCTGTACAGTGCTAGGCATGCCTGTATTGTCACACATATGGCTACTCAACACACATGGCAAAATGAACTCACATCACAGTATGTGAACGTACAGCACAGCATATACAGAGCATTTCCGATTATGTTGGTGAATCTCTCTTGTGCTGGGGCAATGGTTGAGATTTCTTTTTGCTTATGGCCCTTTGTGACAAAATTCGTCCCCACAGCTCCCTCGCATGCCATCTTAGCCATTTCTGGGAGGTACCTGCAAACGGTGACAATGTGTTTTCTAGCTATCCTGCTAGCGTGCGCACACGCACTTCTGACTGTTCCATTTAAGGACAGATGGGAAGGAAATTCATGTTGGCTATTCAATCCCAGAAGAAAACCTTTTCTGAGAGCATTTCCCTATTCCCCTCATCTGACACTAAGCAGTGACAGACAGTGAAAACTGCAGACAACAGGCTGTCATTGTCACATTATGCGGTTGGCTGGTGGAGAAGGAGCACTGGCTGGTTTGCTCCCAGACGTGATGCATCGAACGCCACAGCTCAGCCGTTGGTTGACAGTGCCTCAGAGCAGAAACTAAGTTCCCTCCATGCCCTGGGTTGAGAATTCCTCTGTCTCCTCTGGAAATCTCAAATCATGTTCCTGGTCAACTGGTTAGTCAGGTGGAAATCACCCTGCTGCTGGTCCTTCTCACGAGCCATGACATGCCAGCAACACCGGCATTTCTAATATAGGCTGAGCGCATCTTTTTCTTCACGGCTGTGTCACTTACCTGGAGGGGCAGCACGACAAGGGCAACACAAATCATTATCACCACCAGGAGCTGCGAGGGCCAGATCTTTGGGGTCACATCTCCATAGCCCACGGTGGAGAAGGTGACGATACAGAAGTAGAAGGACTTGAAGAGGGAGAGGTTGTCACCTGCTCTTTCTAAATGCTGGATGCCACAGGTTCTGGAAGGAGGGGGAAAAGGGAGCATGTGTCAATTAGGCTTTCACACGGCACCCCATGAACATCAGGTTCCTGATCCTGCAATGTGTAATGCCCTCCACTCCTACTGGTGCCGTGGGGGAAGAGGGCCCTCTGGTGCTTGCAGGAGAATGCCCTAGAAGAAGCCTTGAACCTACCAGACTCATGGGCAGAATTAATCCCTGGTGTATCACCAGTATGGTCAGTGGGATAAATCTGGCCAGCTTGACAGCACTTCTAGTTTAGAGGTTCGATTTGGCTCAGATAACCCGCCCCCCAATTAACATGCTCACCAGAACGTTACCCCAAACCCTTGACATCAGGTACCACACTCCAGTAGTGCAATGCCACTTATGTAGGCAGCTTGGAGTCCGAGGCCCTCTGTTTCCGACAGAGTGTTGCTGAAAGGTAAACAGGAAGCTCATTCCATCCTTGATATGACTCAGATGACATTAAGGGCTCTCAATCTCATGACAAATCCTCTGGAACCAAGTAGCTTATCTCCTCCGTAGTCAGTCAGCATCACTTGAGAGGCATGCAGGTTAAAAGTCATCTTGGTGAACAGAAATAATGTAGAAGTGGCCTTGGAATTGAATTCCAGTGCTATCCAACAGGCCAGGAAATACATATAGAGTCACAGAGGGCATGAGCTGCTAAAGGCAAAGTGTACTATGGCTTCTTTTTACGTAAAAAGACCCGTCAGGATGTTTAGACCTATCATACTCATCAGCTTTACTTTGTATCTATTTACAGCTTAACTGGTATGTTACATTCCCAGTCCAGATCAGTGGAGATGTAAGAAAATGCCAAAAGTCTAATTAGACACTAACTACCTAACAATGGAAAGAGGTCCATGTAGTTCTAAGTGCATGGCGTAAAGGGTTCTGTTAATTAGCAGATGCCTCCATGGCCCATTAGACAAATGGCAATAGAGCAACCATGGTAACCTCCTCCAGATGAATAGCATATTTAGGAAATGCAGTGGCCTTAATGTACAAGCCATCACAGCTGAATTAGTGTCCAACAAATATCTCCCCTTCGAAAATCACCAGTATCTCCCTGGACATGACAGCACTTATTGCCCTGCTCTGAGCCATGTACACTTACATAAGCCAGCCAGGATCCTGGCATGCTCCAATTAACAAGTTTCGGTTAAAATCGTGTAATTAGAGACAATCATTGGCTCCTAAAACAGGAATTGATCTGCCTGAGGCTAAATGATCAGGAAGACAAAGCAAAGTAAGGAGACTCTCTGAGTCAGTGGAGCGCATCTGATTCTTTTATTAGCCGACAGCACTTCTGAAGATCAGGCTCTAAAAAAGTTAAAAAAACAACAACCCAAAATGCTACAAAAAGGTGTTCTGAACATTGAGGGTCACTTCCAGCTGGTGTAAACTGGTATAGCTCCATCAAAGTCAAATGCTGATTTACACCAGATCTGGTCTTAATCCCATAAAACTAAATACTGACCCCATTGATACCAATGATAAAAGCTCCCCTAGAGCTCAATGGACCCAGGATTTGGCCCTGTATAATTTGTGATGGATGGAGATAAAAAGGCTTGGGAGCTCAGTTTGGTTTGGGTAAACAGCCCTAAACTATGATGCTTTGATCAATATATAGTCCTCTCCAGAACTCTACAGAATCCAACCGGAATCAGACTGGAAAATTCCTGCTGCAGCCATGGGTAGAATCTCCTGCAAGTTTCCAAATCACAGTATGGGGTTTTGGTGCACTCCTCCAATGAAAGCCAATGGGAGCCAGGCAGTTAATCAATCCCAGCACCCACTCAGGGGCATGAGAATTCACCCCTACCCCAAACACTCTATTCTCCGTTGTTCAGGTCAACAGGAAATAGCACCGACAAAGTGCACATGGTAACTTAGCAAGTCGGTTTAGTTGACTTTTCCATTCGACTTTTGAGAGCAAGACAGCTTCTGCTATGGAAGCCCCTTCAGCCGTGCTCCCCCTCCCGGTGTCTCTTTGCCCCCAAGAGCACCACGTAGGAGGGACTGTAACCAAGAGGGGGTGGAAACACCATTGAAACACCGTTGCATCCGATGAAGTGAGCTGTAGCTCACGAAAGCTCATGCTCAAATAAATTGGTTAGTCTCTAAGGTGCCACAAGTCCTCCTTTTCTTTTTGCGAATACAGACTAACACGGCTGTTACTCTGAAACCATTGAATCAATGCCGCTTTTAGTAAAGAAGCTTCTGTCTCTCCCCCTGCCCCCCACCTCCAACAACAGAAGCAACAGCCAGTTAGCAAATATATGATAGGTTATCTGGACACTGACATCTTTGCCCTCCAGAGGTGAACAATATTTCCTCCCACTGCTTAAAGAAGAAACAAATATTTTTGCATGACGATGAAGAGAAGGGAAAGGAGTCAGAAAAAAAAATCAATAGATCAACACTTCTGCCTTTGTGTCTGACTGCTAGCAGCGTGGCCACATGATGATTCTAACCACCTAGAAGAGCACTTGGCCTCAGATCATATCCACAGGGAACAGCAGTGTAATTGGTCTATCGTGTATCTTGCCACATGTCATCATCTGAGGGGCCATACTTCAAAGAGTGATTGAAAAACACTCTCTACTGGGCTGACTTGGTTGTGTTACAACAAAAACAAACAAAAAAACACCCACAACACATCATGCATCCAAGAGAGGTTTTTATTTTCTTAAGTCACATTCCTATGACATGACTGAGTCTGTTTGTCTCATTGCACGTTGGGCTGGAGCTTCATGTCAAATGGGTAGGAAACTCACAGCCTGCTAAGCAGCCTCCCTACACAACTTTCTGCTCCAGAAAGCTGGGCAACCTGCAGCCGGAAGAGGCTCTAACATGATTTTTCCTGCCACAGCAACAGGATAAAAGTAAGTGACACTCACAGAATAAAGTTTGGCCTATCACATTTCAGACCACCACAGTCTACCACCCTCTGTTAGGGCCCGAGTCACGCACATGACTCCTCACCGAGTAAAATGCTAAGCCCATACGTAAGCCTTTGCAGGATCAAGGCCTTAGCCTTTCCCTCCATCTATTTAATCACTGTCTTATGTCACATTATTTATTTCATGAATGAATGTGGCATGCAGCCAGGTCAAGGGTTTAGAAAAACCAAACAAAACTCCTTACCCTGTGAAAACAAGACACAGCAGGGTGCAAATCAGAATCAGCACTTGATTGAACATGGCGGATTGCGTTCTCTGTATCGCTCGGTGCAGGTCATTCTGAAAAAAGGAGAAGTCACACTTGGTGGACGACTAGGATAAATACTTGGGTGCAAACCTGCCCCTCCGTTACACCTTTGCAACCTTGCTGACTTCCAAAGGGTTGTGAAGGAAGCAAGTCAGGCCAGAATCTGTCCCTTTTAAAAAAGTATCACATGCATTTCTGTAAGGAATAAGTACTGGCCTATTCTGTCCCCAAATCTGAGACACTGCAGAGTGCAGCTCTGAAAATGGCATTGTGAGGCATCACTTCTGAATGCAGCCAAGTTGGGGGGGTGGGGGGGGAGGGCCAAGTCACGGGTAAGGGCATTAGTGCAAGGGATTGGTGTGGAAGAGACCAATGATGAAGAGGATCTAGTGACAGAGACTGGAGCGATCCTGTGCATGGAAGGTGAGGAGGAGGCAGTTAAGGCCTGGAGGTAGCAAGCCTGGGTCATGAGGAGGATGTAGAGATGACAGATGGAGGGAAATGGGAAGATAAATGGGAAAAGCCGTTTCTGTCCTGTTGTAACATTGCAAGCTCTTCGGGGCAGGGACTGTCTACGGGTCTGTGTTTGTACAATGCCTAGCACAGTGGGGCTGAATTCTTGGTTGGCCCTTATGCACAGCCATAATAAACATGAAATAAACAAAAATATAACTAATTAATAATAATAAATAATGCACAGAGAATTGTGCCACATGGCTAAGAGCCAGTTTCAAAGTACCCATTAACATGCAATTTAGAAGCATTCTGTGAACACAGTCTTAAGAATTCATCTGTAGTCCCCATGGGCAGAGCTTTCAGAAGGATTCAGATCTCCCGTAGAACTCAAATCCCATTTAGGGACCTAAGTAAGTGGCCAGATTTTCAGAAAAGTTTCTAAATCTGGTACTAAGGGTCACAATGGGAGCTATTGGGTGCCAGGGTCTTTTAAGCATTTGGCCCCAGTTGTGGGTTCTGTGCACTTGAAAATCTGGCCCTAAGTGTAAATTTGAGTCACCCTCTTGGCAGCATAATCCACAGGACAATAGGTCCTAGAGCACATCAGAGCCCGCTACCTCTTGATTTAAGGTAGCAAGTGGAGAGCATCAAGATACTCTCCAAAGATGGGGCATGGTTAAGGACGTCTGAAATTTAGTTTCTCTCTCAATATTAGTGTAAAACAAGCATCCAGAAAGCAACAGTAAGGAGACTGCCAGGCTACTCTTCTGGTTACACTGGAAGGAAGCGGGTGATCTTTGGCTACTCACTATCATGTTTTCCAGGGCGTACTTGGCCAGCCAGCAGTTCAGAAAAACTGGAATAAACAAATTCCGTAAAGGGGACCAGAATATCTAGAAAACAATAGTTATTTGCGGGTTTACTTGAAAAACACTCACAAAAATCAATGCTCCTTTATTAAATAAGTCATTAACAGTCAATTAGCAGCCCTACTCCTAAGAATCTAAATTCCAAAGTTTTGGCAGAGGAATAGATGAGGATAATTGGCCTCAAAGGAGTACAGAAACTGCCTGTTACAAAGGTAGGGTCAGAGCCTCAACTGGCCAGAAGCTGGGAATGGGTGACAGGGGATGATCACTTGATGATTACCTGTTGTGTTCATTTTCTCCGAAGCACCTGGCATTGGCCCCTGGCGGAAGACAGGACACTGGGCTAGATGGAACATTGGTCTGACCCAGTATGGCCGTTCCTCTGTTGGTGCAAGTTGGCATAACACTACTGATTTCAATGGAACTATATTGATTCACATCAGTTCAAGTTCCGGACCTTAGAATAGAGCTTTCATGATCTGCCCCAAGTCGCTGTAGCCGTGACTATACTAGCCAACTGCATGGCTATAATTGAGCAGTATTGCAAACTTGGGGAGATGCAAACACCTGAGACTGGCTGTGCTACATCTTCCAAAGTTGCTGACAGTGGTGGAGCTGAATTATGGCTACCAAGTTTGGCCATGATCCTGCAGTGAGCTCCTTACTGGGGCAGGGGTCTTGATTACATCTGCCAGTATCTGAGTAGGTCACAAACAATGCGGTCTCAGGGCTGATGGCAGGCAGACCATCTTCCATACAATCCTAGAGAGTTATGCAACATGTTCACAACCAACCATGGAACCAGGAGAAATGCAGCTAGTCCTGGGTTCTGACATGAAAATGAAACCAGCTGAATTTCATGAAAAGCATTTTGAACCCATCAAGAAACTGGAAAATGTAAACAAAAATGAACATTCTCCACAGAAAGTCATTTGTTACTGAAAAAAAGATTTGGAGGAGAGGACTTGACCTGCTCTTAACATTTCCTGTCATTGGACAGATGCCCATTAATCATGGTTTCATAATGAAAACATTGTAGCATAGCATTTATTGAAATGTGATTGGTTTAAAAATGTCAAGAGCAAACACTTACTGTGATTATAAAGGGCACCGTGTTGATCATTTCAAGGATGAATGAAATACGAAAAATCTGCTCCCAGATGTTTCCCTGCAGAATGAAAAAAAATTAATCGTTTAATTAAATAATCCCAGAAGAATACTGAAAAGGACAATTTAAAAGGTTCCGATTTGGGTCATTTCCAGTTGTTATGATGTTGTAGCAGCCAGGAGAATGCTGGGTATTTCACGGCAGGCAGAAGCAGCCCTGGTCCTTTTCCCAAAGAACTTATGATCTACATTTTAGATAAGACATGAGGAGCAAGCAGGAAGGTGATGAGATGTGGGAGGTCAGTGGATTATTTCTGAGTGAAGTTTAGTTTATGACACAGTCAGCAAAGACCATTAGGCTATCACCTCCTTGAAGCAGGACCGTGTCATATTCTGCCAGAACACTGTCGGCACTCACACTGCAACCACGGAATGGGTGCTAGAAAGAAGAGCAGGAGAACAGAGGGCCAGTGCACTGGCCTTTGACCTTGAATGGAGCAAGTTCTAACCCCGTTTAGAGGCCTCTGGATTTCCAGGGAACCATTCTGCTTTCAGGAGCAATTTTCCCAGCTCTCTGTCTTTTTCAAGGTAACTAGAGCTTTTTAAAAGCCTCCCTAGGGTTGTCCTCCCTCTGTTGCCCTCTGGGGTGGGTGGAGCAATCAAAAAGAATGGGAGACATCTGTTCACAACAGAGCCCTGTTCTGACGAACCATTGTATCCTGCTCACTACCAAGCATTGAATTCTAACTTGGGAGGCCCCTGATTGTGGACAGACAAGCTTTCCCGGGACTCCTCGGTGTTCTGTTTTAGAGACACTCCAGATTCTCTTTGAGAAGGAGTAAAATGAGAGCACTTCTAGGGTTTTTCCTGGCTGGCCATAGGCAATTTTATACGGATATCTCTTTGGATTCCCCCTATTCCAAAATATTCTGTGCTCTGTGCGTCTTTCCTTCATCCAGGTGGGTGCATCGGCAAGAGTCAATGAAGGGCTTAGGTAGGACATGAAATCAAATGTGAGCAAGGGAAAACTCCCTTTCTGCCCAGCTACTGGAATATATTTACTTGAACTTGTGATGCCTCAGAGAAAGATATACAAGAAAAGACAAATAGCCTCTATATTGTCTGAACAATTCCCACAACAGAGACGAGAAGAGAATTTCTAGGCCTGATTCCCTCTTGCCTCATTTACATTAGCGCAAAGTGGTTGCAAAATGCCACCAAAAATCAATGTCTTGCACCCGCTTTGTACTAGTGGAAGCGATGCACAAAGGGTCAGCAATGGAGAATCAGGCCACTCCTGTCTCCCTCTCTCTGCAGCCAGTTTGCAGAGCCTTCCCACCAGACACAAGACTGTAGAACCATCTGATTAAAGCGACAGGATTTTAGGGATATCAGCTCATCTGCCTACAAGCCTGAGGATGAGAGAGGGCATCCAATGTGCTGCAAACCTTATTGAAAACCCAGATGGGGTTCCCTCTAAAGGACACATGGCTGAAAAGGCCAGCGCTGATATACCCATCTACACACAGCATGACGAAGCTGCCCAGAAAAATATCACAGGCTAGAAAGATCAAAAGAAAAATGCTCCAGAGGACTCTGAGATGACTGTTATTGAGGCCTTCTTTCTCTGAGGGTAGAAGGAGCCAGAGTGACAGTCCTGTAGGTAGAAGTCTTCTTCTCCTCCACAGAAGAGATGAAGCAAGGAACGGCCCCCACCATGCTGCCCCCAACCCCAGCTGGTCGGAGAACCGCGATGGCTAAGAGGGTATTTCTATCTCAGTGGCTTCTAAGCTGAGGCCACCACAAAAGGTGGCGGTTATGAGACGGTGCAAAACCAAATGACTCCGCCATTGCACACACCTGACCGGTAGCGCCCAAGGAGACTGGGGGAGAAAGGAAGAATGAAGTTCAATCAACAAAACGAAAAGAAAATCCATGTTGTTTGAAACGTGCCCCATTTGTGCTAGTTTGGAGATGCCTTTGTGGGAAATCTCAGTAAATGATGCAGAGCATAATCCGTCTGCCTGGGCTGTAATGAGAATAGCGGTGAACAGCTATGCCGATGTGCAGAAAACTGGTCCAAGGGGGTTTCAGGCACCTGGCAGAAGGGAGATAAAATAGCTGTTATGAATCTAATAGCTCTGTGGCAAAAGCGGAATTTACAGGCATTGGCGTGCTCAGCCTCACTTCTGAAGGCAAGGAAGATTTAACATCGCAGCTGAGCTCCTGTCACAGGCCAGCTGGCCCTTTATGGGGAGCTAGGCTCAGTCTCGCCTTTGAGGGCTAAGCTACCCACCCGCAGCTGACCCTGACTGGCTGGGATCAGGTGGCTGTTTGGTTATCAGACCCAGCTGGGAAGGAGCCAGGTGATTTCCATACAGGTCTGAGAGAGCTCAGCTGGCGAGACAGCTGCAGGAGGGAGGTTGCCTCCAGGATCTAGCCCTGAAGGGAGAGGGTGTCAGGAGAGAAGGAGGCTCCTGAAGAAGGCCAAGCCCCAGGAAGCTGGCACGGAGGAAGACTGGGAATAAGGATCCAGACTGGGGGGAAGGACTTTGAGGGCGGGGGGAGCCCTGAGGTCAGTGGCTCGGGTAGGGGCTGGGTCCAAAGGGACAGAGCTCTGTGAGACAGCAGAGTGAAAGGTCACCCAGGAGAGTGGAAGGCCCTTTCATTTCCTTTGTTAAGTCCCTTTCCAGGGCTGAGCGGGACAGCTGTCGGACAAAGCCTCCCGAAGGGAAGCTAGACCGGACACCAGGGCGTGCTGTGGGGGCTGACTCTGCCACAGTCCCTTTTACAAAGGTCCGTCCATTGGGAACCACTTCTTCCCAGATCTTCCACCCATTTCGGACCATGTCGATGGTTGTGGCTAGACTCCCCAGAAGCTGGGCATGGAAGACAGGGGACGATCACCCCATGAGTGCCCTGTTCTGTACACTCCCCCTGAAGCTCAGGGATGGGCCACTGTCGGAGACAGGATCCTGGACAAGATGGGCCATGGACTGTCCCTACATGGCAGCTCTTATGTTCTCATGTACTCCACCGAGCACTCACGCTGCTCAGTCCTACAAGGGGCAGCACACTCTGGCCTGAAGAAAGCATGGGATTGAAGTCAGTGAGACTCCTTGTGAGCTTAAAGGCAGTCACTTGCTTCCAGGCTTTGCTGGTGAACTACTGACTTGGAGTATTCAGCACCAGACAGGATCAATCCCTGTGACAGGACTCAGCAAGAGAGCTGCTTGGAGGTGTCAGGGGCCAAATGCTGGTAAGCATCTTTTATTTGCTATATGAAACAAATTGACTTTCCTTCTCTTGCAGGAATATTTCCCTTGTGTGCCTACCGAAGAGTGTTTGTTTCAATTCAGCGAGCTCAGTGATGGGTGAGAGCTGGGAGACTTTCATGCACATTAGAGATGAGATTCAAGCTGCAGAATTCAGATCAAAGTTTTTAATATTCTGATATTCAGTGGGTGCTTGGATCTGAGATTTGTTAGACCTATTAAAAAAAAAAAAGACACAGGCCATTTGCAAAATTCAGTCCAGGTTTGAATTTCAAATGCCCACAGTAAAGCTGTGTAGGGAGCGATCTGAGAAGAGCAGCTGCTGCAGAGTGAGAGGGAATGAGAAAGGAAAGACTGCCATCGATTTCAAGGAGTGTTTGATCGGGCCTTAAACTTTAAATCCATTACTTGGAGGGCTCTTACCTTGTAGCTGAGATAGATGAGAAGCATGGTCTCTAGGAAGCTGATTAAAGCTACGCTAACCTGAAAAAAATATAAAAGAATATAATTGCCTGGATTTGAGCTGAAGCATCATCGAAGAGGTCTGAGGCTATCCAGCCACTTAAATGGTCTCGCCAACTGAACATTCCCACCTGGTTTACAAACAACGAATATGAAAGTTGCCAACCACAGAGGCTGTGGGGACTTTACTGAACCCCAGGAAAATATGGGAGTGGCACAGATTGGGGATAACAATGGGAAATCCGCCATTTCCACTTCACACTTCTTTTGTCAAACTTCAGAGATATCTGCCTGCTCTAGACAGTGCTTGTATCAGTGCAACTATGCTGGCTGGGGGGAGGGGGTGATTATTTTGATTTAACAAATAATAATTATGCTGATACAGTCCCTAGTGTGGAGGCAATTATACCGATACGGCTTATTCCCTTTATACCCATAGAACTGCATCCACACAAGGACCTGTGCTGTTTTAACCGTACTGGTATAGATAAATCAGTGCCACTTCAGGGTTAGACAAATCCGTGGGCTGAAATCCTAGCCCCACTGATGACAAGAGGAGTTTTACTATCGAGTTTAATGGAGATGGGAGTTTACCTTTTTTAAAAAATTCATCACAGGGAAATTTTTCACCAATAAAATAACTCAGAGTAAAAATAGCCAAACACGTTGGACCCATGAAGCCTTCCCTTCCCCCAGCCGAGAACATCAAAAGATCAGAGATAAAAAGACTGGGGCAGTACGGGAGGGGGGGATGAACCTTCTCCGAGGTCCTTGATCCCCTGAACCTTATTTGGCTCACTGTAGACCCACATTATCCCAGGCTCTATTGAGCCAGGAGAGTAGAGCTGTGCAAAACTCACGGTTTTATCTTCACAAACATTTGCATAAACAGACTCTTATCTTTTCCATCGGCATTTGTAAGTTTCACCTGGGGTCATCTAGCTGCTCACAGCAGAAAAACACAATCTATTTCCACTCACCAGTGTCCTCTGTTTATCAGTCTTCAAGGATTTGTTCCAGGAAGAAAGATGCAGAGAGAAACACGGATGACATAAAACAAACCTAGCACAAAATAAATACTGTACGCCTTTTGTGTGATGGATTTTCTGTGACAGCGCCTTAGAGGTTCAGTCACTTACCTGTATTGCCCATAATGGCATTTTTCTATCCACCCATAAGATTGGAGCCCTATAAAAAAAAATTCACAGTGGTCCTAAATTGGAATCTGTTCTAAACAAGCCATTCAATGTTTTACCCAACAGGTGTGAAGTCAACATTTACTGATCTATATCTTTAACAAATTCATTATTATTATTCAAAAATGCAAAGTCTGCATCCAGATCTGAATTTCCTCAGAATCATGGGGCTTTAACCCTAGAGTGTGGTTCAGGCCCAGCTAATTCTGTGTCATTCCCTTTTGCAAAACTTCAGTAATAAAACTGTAAACCTGGTGAGACTCACTTCTAGAAATCCCAAACTTAGGCCAGATAAATGAATGTGGGATGAGTTTTTGGTGAACCTGAACCAGTGGATGGATTCAGTTGAAAATCATCTAGGACTAAGCAGTTTGAGAGTGAATTCGGGTTTTGAATGAGTTGAATAACTCCTGCAAATTTCAGAGACTCAGGGTGCAAAGGGAATCAAACTGGAGAAGATTGAAGAACCCTCAACTGTAAGTCTTGACATTCACAAAGCTCTGGAACAGAATGTCTGGTGAACTACAATTAGGCTCAGCCACCTAAAACCCTGCATGTTCCAGTGGGAAAGACTGACAGGATCCATTAGCTGGAACCATCAACTGTTCTCACTCCAGGACAACTTTGTCTATTAGACTTGTTTTGCAGAAACTAGACAGAATTTGAACTGCAAACCTGGGTATTAAACCTCTCACAGGCTACGTGCTGGTTCTGACCCTGGACAACACAAACTCACTTGAGTTGAAATTAATCTCCCATGCACATCCAGTCCTACCCTTGCAAGCAAGAGTGAGCGTGCTGAATTGTATGAGAGTTTTGTTAAACAGATTTCTGAGAATACCCTCTGCATGGAGAATTACTCATTTCCAAAAGTAGAACAGTGGATGCTTTTCTAACTGTGCATCTCAATCCCTCTGTTACTGAGATTCATATTCTCTCTCTTCCTTTGTCAGCTGCATCACTATGGACAACCAGTGGCTACAGGTAGCCACAAACATCAGAAATTCATATTACCAGGTTCCCCAACAACTAGTTAGAGTGGAGCAGGATTTAAGTGCTATTAGCAACTTACCAGTTTATTTCTGTAGACGACTGGTTGAAGGTTGAGTAATTCTGCTTTTCGCATCCCCAGCTAAGACAAGAGAAACACAAACTAAGAGGGAGACAATCAGTATGATGCAACAGACCAGCCCAAGGGGCCAGTGAGAGATAAGAACACTCCAAGTCAGAGCCTGCCTCTCAACTTCATGAAAGTGACGCAGGCTGATACCAAAGCCATTGTTCCCAAAAGGAGAAAGAGCCTGGAAGCTGCAGAAACGAACTTGGTTGTCGGTGCTGGCTGTGCTTTCAGCTGACGTAATACAGCACAGTCTAGTAATAATAGTAATACCCAGCAATTAGAGTGGTTTTAATCCAGGGGGCCAGAGCCCATTGACTTCACTGAGAGTTGCAGACACTGCACCTATAAAGACCAGCCCCCAGGTGTGGCTAAAGCAGGCAGTTTTGCTGTATCACTCTGGCAGGCTAAAATCAGTCAGTCAATAAAAGCCAACCAACCCCGATTGTTCTAGAGGTCTTTTACCTGAAGTTAAAAGCTCATCCACTAATTCAAATTCTGACCAGTAGCACTAAAACTAACCCTCTGCTCTCAGCTCTCCAGAACAGTTAACCAAGAGCTAAGGTCAAGGGCCGCCACGATGCTAATGAGTGGAAACGGAAATGAATGCGAGTCATTAATTATTCTGTTTGGCACAATGCAGAGTGACGATACTGCACAACTAGGAAACACAAGCATGGGTGCCAGGTAGCATGGCTCTTCACAGTTAAGCATCCTGGACAAGTGGGTTGGGTTGGGTGCGGAGGGAAGAAGACTGCAAAGCAACAATGCATGTTTCAGATGGTACCAAATTGGTTTGCACAAGTCTGGAAAGATAAGGTCGCCAAATGGGAAAAGGACTCTGGTATTGATGCTCAAAGTGAGCTACTGACTTACCAAGAGGAATGTTGGCCCAGTAGTTCAGTCACTAGCCGTACCCATGGGAGAACCAGGTTCAAGTCCCTGCTCTGCCACAGATTTCTTGTGTGACCTTGGGCAACTCACTTGAGTCTCTCTGTGCCTCAGTTCCCCATCTCTACAATGGGGATAATAGCCCTGCCCTACCTGGCAAGGAGGGTGTGAGGCTAAATACACAGAAGATTGAGAGGTGCTTAGATACTACAGGAGAGAGGGTACATAATATAAAAAGACCATTGGAACGCACTTTAAACAAATTTCTCCTGGGGCAAGTCCCAACTAAACCTTGGGCTTTCCTGCATAAAAGCGCCAACGGCTAAAGTTAATTACAAATGTACTTTCTGTTGTTGGAACCCCAGGTCTAGCAGAAGCTAGGCTCATTAATCAGCTAGGTCTTTTATTACTGTTGGACCATCGCCTTGTATTTGTAAAATGTTAAACACGCCAAGCAAGATGCCTTAAGGTGCAAGACACTGATGAACCTCTCTGATGAAGTAGGTTATTTCTGAGGATATTGTTCCTTTTATTATTCTAATGGGGACTTAAAAGACCAGCTAAAAATTTAAAGTACAAGGTTAGGTTGAATAACATTAAAAACTGAAGTCAGAGATAAGTGGGTATAAGGTAAATTTCTTGGATTTGAAGTGCATTGCACTAAGTCTATTTGACATAGTTAAAAGTTTTCAGCAAAACTGAAATGTCTCCTGGAAACGTACTGATTTTGACTCAGCTGTCATTGGGAAAGCAAGCAAGAGCCCCCCCTGAGTAGCCAACAGACCAACAGTTGGGGCACTCACCTAGCATATGAAAGACTGAGCTTGAAGTCCCCCCTCTCCCTGATTCAGCATAGAAATATGACCCTGGGCTAGAGAGTCCATTTTTCATGTTTATTTATGAAATATTTCAAAAGGTCTCACTTTTGTTCCAATGAGAAATGAAAACAAATGTCAAAACCACAATTTTTTTTGCAAAATGGAATATTGTTCTCCAGCCAGCCCTAGAAAATACCTCCCAAATGCCATTGTCTAGCAACACAATAGTAAGGAATCTAGTATCAATGTCCTCTTGTGACATGTCCGCATCTCTAAATATAAAAGCCCTTCATCTCAAACTATGCCATGGGCGGAGTTCTGGAAATAAACATCAATTCATCTGTAAAGCAACAACATCTAGAGAAACGTCTAATCAAGCCAGCATCTGTCTGTCACCACCCTCTACATCCAAAACCAATCACCACCTGCCTTGCATCACAGCTTCTTGGGACATTCCTCCCCATGCCCAGAAAAGTCTAACACCAATATTTTCAACCAAGCTACATTTCAATGATGTGCTCTGATGCCTTCTGAAATATACTCATTGCGGTAGATCCTCAGTTGACATAAATTGTCATAGTTCCACCGATGTCCATGAAGCTGAGGTGCTGCCCCTCTATATACAAAGCTCTTTAAACTTCTTCCTGTTGCAGAGGACAGATGTGTCTTTCAACAAGAATTCAGTGTTGTTATTTGGTGAGATGCATCCTAAAAGGTCAGAAGAATTTTAAACGGCCAACAACTTTTGATAGCAATTTATTTTATAAATAATAAAGTAGATGGGTCCAAACTGACTATACAAGAATGAAAGAGACTTTTGGGTCTTCACTGAAATTCACCCCTGCACATTTTAGGGCATCCTTAGAAACCCCTGAGGGTGGGAGGTGAGTGAGTGGCAGGTGTGATTTCCCCTCTGGGCTCATGTTATTTCTGTTATATAATTATGCTGAGGAATGTCATGAGATAAAATTTTCAGAAGTGCCTAACTCTCACTGATGCTTAAATCCCATTGAAAGTTAGTGGGACTTTGGGGCCTAAGTCACAGAAGTATTGTTTAAAATGTTACCCTTGGCGACTAAGGGAACGATCAGCAAATCATTAACATGGGCACTGAAACAAATCACAGATCTACTCTCCACTGCCACTGATCCAAAATAAGTTGGCAGAGTAAGGGGGAGCTCAGAGTACCGTACCAATGTTCCCCACTGATGGCTGTTATCACTGTAAAATGCAGCATAGCAGAAGATGTCTCTAAATTAATAAACAGGAGATTGCAATAGAGCCCAAGCCATTGAACTTGCATTTCTAGGACAAACCAGCTCCCCAGAACAACTAGCCAGGTAGACAGCAGTGAAAGGCACACACAGAGTATTGAAGCCATGCACTATTACCATGGGAGGATGCAGCCATGCTGACCAACATTGATTGCACACATACTGCACCCCACCACCCCAAGGCTGAAGCCTCTCTCCGGACTGGAAAGGAGTTTTGCTGCAAGCAGTCTGGGAAATTAAATGCAAGAATTCAGCCTCTTTCACTGAGTTTTGGTATGTTAAGCCTCACCCCAGTTAATATTCGCTCTTCATGCCAGTGGAGGCCTAAAGGTGTTAAGATACCCTTAGATAATGCAAATATATCTGACAATAAAATGCCTCTTTTAAAATCACATTTTGGCATGGACAAACAGAAGGAACTGTATCCACCTAGAAAGAGCGAGAGCACCTTAAAAGACCAGGTTCTCTATCTGGCTGGGTTTTCACAGGCAAGAGAAGTTGGGATTCATTTTACTCAGAGACATGTGGAGACATTCTCCTTCTTCCAAGAGTCAATTGATTTGCCAGCTTCCTAAGAGAACTGGCCTGATATCAAATCCCCCAGCAACCCAGATGGTGAAATACTGTCAAAAATAAGAGGTATGGTCCAAACATAGGATGTGAATCCAGGAACTTCAGAGTTCTAATTCTGGCTCCGACATGGACTCTGGTCACTTCACTTTCTGCCTACTCACCTCCTTCACGAAAGTTGTGAGGGATAGGACAGAAGATGGAAAAGTTCTGTGTTAGTGCTAAGTGTCAGATGTTTCTCCTTTCCCTGCCTTCACACCCAGATAAGTAGCCTGCAGCCTTGGCAAACAGAAGAATCAAAATGCTAATTGACTTGCATTCTGTGCTGGGAGAAATTATATACAGATAAAAGGCAAAAAAAGGACACCCGCAAAGAAGACACACATTCAAATACTGGGCAAAGCTGACAAATCTAATCATCTGTCAGTTCAGCTCTTGAAATGACAACACTGATCTCCTCCCAAAAAGGCCTAAACAGGATTTAGAGTAAGTGCCTTCAAGGATGTCAACATATAGAAAACGTTTGCAGGCTACGCTGAAACTTGAACATTTGTCCCATGTCTGAAGGCAATTTGACCTGTGAGTCTGCAGCAAGGTAGTCGAGTAATTTTTAAAGCTACAGATGAAAGGGACCCACACTTAGAATATTGTTATTGGCATTGCTAAACTAAAACAGTAAGAAGAAAGTCACAAAGCACTGAACCCCTCCACCCCACCTGAAATACATGAAGTAGCATCACTCAAGAGCTGGATACAAAGTAGAGCTGGTCAGAAAATGGAGGGAAGCCCATGGAAGGTGAGGTGCCCGTGAAAATGCAGAGGTGTCCGTGAATAAATAGAAATCTGAAGTATTTTGATTCTGAAATACCACCATGGTGCCTCATGGGAGTTGCAGTTTCATGGTCCCATTCTCTTCTACAGGCTGAGTTCTCTGGTCAACATCCAGCTCCCATGATGCTCCATGGGGTCTCCTCTTTTGGGGAGTAGATCTTTCGGGGTAATGCATCACAACAGTCATGTGAACGAAGTCATATACAGGTTGGAGTTCTGTTCCTGGCATTTCTCCTAAAGTTGATGAGCTGCAAACACCATGTCTATGGTCTTACGTCTTCTCTTGAAGCCACACACTCTCAGGTAAGAGCCCTTGTTCAATATGTTGCACAAGGCAATTCAGCAGAATTCTGGCAAGAGTTTTGCCAGCTACTGATAACAAGGAGATGCCCCAATAGTTGTTGCAGGATTATCTGTTGCCTTCCACTTGTACAAGTGGACAATGGATGCATCCTTGTACTCCTAGGGTATAGTTTCATTGATTGAAAAAATTCAGTCAGCTTCAGAACCATGTGTGAGCCTCTGGACGTGTAGACTTCTGCCCATATAGCATCTGCTCCTGGTGCTTTACCATTTGACAGCAGGTCAATCGCTTTCGCAGTTTCAGTCAGCGCTGGGGGATCAGCAAGAGAGATTTTGATATTGATCTGCAGCAGTCGATCAATTGCCTCCTCATTAATAGATGATTGAGGATTGGGGATCTTGTTAAAGTGTTCTGCCCACCTTTGCAGCATCTTTTCTTTGTCAGTGAGCAGTGTGGTGCCATCGGCACTCAGTATTGGAGATGTACAACTCAAATGAGACATGTTTCAACTTTTTGATTAAATTTACCAAAACATGTTGCTGTTTTTCAGCCAGCTTGTAAGGCAATCTCCATTTCTGAAACTCAGAGGAAAATTTTTCCCAGAGCATTTGGAAAATTATCTGTGAAAATGTTTCTAAATTTCTCTACCTGCTTTATTTTCCAGTGGGTTGTCCAGGGCTAGTGAACATACAGATTATTATATCATAGAGTTTCAAACAATGAAGCAAGACAAGACCACTTGAAGCATCCACCCTTCATCTTTGCTGTAGTACTAAAATAATTTTCACTATTGCGTCTCCTATTAACCATCTGCAAGGATGGTGACCTGACAGCTAATTGACAAAGGAACACGGTACGCAGGTATCCATAGACACACACAAGAGTTATTTCCCACTGCACAGAGTTCTGTTTGAGACAGTTCTTTATCTTTAGTTGTAAAGCTCACAGCTTTATTTTTCATCTCAGTGCATCACAGACATTTTGGCAGTTCTGATAAGATGACGGAGAGGTGATTTTGTCAAACTATATCAGAAGCATCTAAATGGATTTCAGACAGAACTTCTAGGGGCTCTGGGAAATCAATAGTGCTTCTGAGACTCGGTTTGAAACATTGGCTTACCAAAAGGGCCTCCTGGGATGCGCAATGGCAGCTCTATTGCAAAATACATTTAGACTAATCGTTCTGTGTTAGTTCAGTTAGACGAACATGTGGAAACGGATCATTTTATGGACTGTGGTCCCAATGCCCAGCCCAACCCTCCAACACAACCACCACCAGCCCCTTCTAGCCCTTCTGCTTTCCCCATGGCATTCTTTGGGACCCATCACTGTCAACAGTAGTATAAGGATAACAAATGTACACTAAAAAATATGCCACAACTTCTGAGAGTTTCAGCGATCCCATAAAAGGCCTAAACAAAATACCCTGCTTTGTTCCCTCTGCAGTTTATGCTAATAATAATAATTGGTTTTAGGAATTCTCAATTCTATCAGACAAATTTGTTAAATTAACTGATTAAAAATGAAGAAAAAACAGAGCAGGAAGAATTAGCAATATTTTGAAATAATGTTTACAATAGGCAGGGAAAAGACAGAAGGTGATAATACCACTCCTCACATATCACGGCTCATTGAATTGTTGTGGGACTCAACCAAGGTGGAGGAACGTGAAATGTTCCTGTTTATGTTCACTACCGCCCTCTAGTGGACAAAACTTGACCTGCTTATACGTATGACCAGCAGGTTCCCTTTGATCAACAAGCTAGCAAAGTTTGAAGGCCTGTGATTCTGGAGCGGGACACGAGTTCAGGTTTCCCCATGCCACAGGTGTGTAACTAGCTGGTGATCGTGTCCTGTTTCCAGCCACATCACTGTACCTCAAATTTAAGTTAGCATTCAAGCGTCCAAATGGAAAGGGAGTGAAATAAGTTACCAGATAAGATGAATAGCAACTCAGAAGAGAACACACAACGTGGCTGGAGAAGCAGCACTCTTCACCTTGTAAGAGGAAAAGAAGCAAAAGCAGACGCACGGCTATTGCCCACAGAAATCTCCTCGCCTCTGGATAGAAACCACTCCTTGAGGGGGACAGCTGGTTCGCTATGGACTATTCCCCATTGCAGCAACTCGTGAGACTCAGCACTACGGTGAGGAGAACAGAACATGAGATCCCTTTATCTGGGACTGGACTATGGTGGAACTTCTGAGAGTATCGTCACCCTCACAGCCACTCAGTTGCTAGTAAACCGGCTCTAAACATGAAGTGCTGTCTGGAGACCAACAACACTGAAAGATGCTTAGAGACAATCATGATGGGAGCCTAATAAATACCTGATGATGGATTAGACAGATAAAAATCCACCTTACTGCGGCTAATAGACACTCACCATCCTATTCCCTCTGCTGGGTTGTCAAGTAGAACACGTACAATATAGAGAAGACAAGTGAGAAGCTTCAGGGAGAAGTTGAATAGCCGTATCCTTAGGCCTGCAATATAAAAGACAACAGGGTAAGAGGCTAAAAAGAAACAAACATCTTCCTCTGACTGTACTGCAGGGCTTCTGATGTATGATAGACACACAAAAAGATGCACAGTCATTCCGAGCAAAAGAGGGGGGTCATAAGAAAGTTGGAATTGCTGAATCAGACCAGCACAGCACCTAATGCAATATCTGGTCACTCACAGTGGTATTAGGTGCAGCAGAGGAAGACACAAGAAACCCTCCCACTAGGTAGTTATCAGATAACCTACTATCAGGGAAAATTCTCTCATGACTCTCATTAGTTAGAGGCCTGAAGCAAGAGGTTTTATATCCCCTTCCAAACATTTTAACCTTTATTGTTATAACTCTGATTACCCGCAATAATGTCTAATCTGGTTTTAATCGCGCTTAGCTCTTGTCCTCAGTTATACCTTGTGGCAGTGTGTTCCACAGGCTGATTGTGTAACAAGTGAAAAAGGATTTCGCTTTGAGCTGATCTGAATTTTACAGCCTTTCCCTTTCAGCATTCATTTTTGAAAAAGAATATCCTGACTCCTTGGTGACTATAAAATCTCTTCTGACGTGTAACTTTGGCCCCGTTCTGCCAGGAGTTCCACATGCGAGACGGGGGAATTTTCACTGGGTGCAATGGGAAATCATTATTATGGGACATTTTTTAAAAAGCTGAATTCAACCAGGCATCTAATTTCACAACCACAATCAACTGCAAATGATAGCAACGTATCTAGCTAAGGAACTTATATGGCCCCCATTACCACAGTTTCTTTACCACGCCAGAATCTTAATTGGTTTCTGTATTTATCCCCACAACTCCTCTGAGAGGCAGGAAATCGTTATTATGCCCATACTACGAGTGGGGAACATGCTCAGAGAGACTAGGGTCCAGATTCACAAAGGTATTTAGGCACCTAACTCCAATTTATTTCAATGGGAGTAAGACACCTTGATACCTTTGAGGATCTCCACCTCACAGAGTAGGGAACTGAACCCATGCCTACTGAGTCCCAAGCTAGCTTCTAACCACTGGACCATCCTTCCTGTAATGGCCTGGATCTTCTGCCTGTGTCAATGGTATAGTCCCACATTCTGGCCCTAGATGTCTGAATAGACTCCTACGTTCTGTTTGCAACCACAGTTGATTGTGCCAGGGATTGGTGATGGACACACAATTAGGGGCCACTGGATATCATTTGGCCCAAAATCTTTAGAAAACACGGTGCCCATAATGGGGAGAGCGAGAACACCGCAGCAGAGGTCCCGTTAATGTTACTGCATCCTTGGAACATCTGTTTCAATTGTATTTAAACACCTATTATCCTTTAAGCATGAGAATGAACGAACACAGTAATTTATGCTACTTATTATAGCATGCGTGGTAGGATGGGTGATGATTGCTTTTCTGGCTATTAGTAGAGTTTGCAGGAGACCAGGAATGCTGTACGGACTTTGCTCGAGGCTTGTAGGGTGCACTCCACATCCTACACAGCTTCAAATAACCAGAAGGCCAACATAAACAAACAAACAAAAAGAGTTGGCTCTTTGCAAACCCCCTCCCCCCAGTATGGAAGAAAGGGATGTGGGCTGTTGAGGTTTTTATCCCCAGAATCAGCTAGCATCCATTTAATAAGACTCATACAACCAAGCTAGGGTCCAGTCTTTGCTCATCACATGGCTCAGTGGTTTGTAGGAGGAGGAACAGAACATTCAAATTGCCACTTTATCAACTCCCTCCTCTTCACAGCCAGTTTAGCAGGCTATTACTCAAATTACCAGTGAGAAATTCAGCACATTTCCATTAAAACCCTCCTCTCCTGGGCACCCGCTCTCATGCTACACACCAGCTATTTAACAAGTATATGACCCACAGAGAACAAAAGAAAGTGTGAAATTATAAAATTAGCTCCTAGAGATTCCCTGCGGGCAGCTAATGCCTTCCCTCAGCCAGAAAATAAAAGCCTGATTCTTCGAGTGGAATTAATCTGGGGAGTCAAAGAAAATAGGTGATATTTCTGAGACAGACGAGAGGAATCCATGGCCTGAAATGTTTAGAAGGGAGGGAGCAGCAGCAGCCTGGAGGTTCCTGTCCCTAGACAATAAAATTCCGGAGCTGGAGCTCACGTAGAGTTCCAACACTGTTGGAAGTTCAATCAGGGAGCCCCAGCCCTATAAACATGCCACTATTTTTAACAAAAATAAATCCAGCTTCATGCTATATTGTATAATGATTTACAGCAGGTCAGTTCATTCTCATCCCACAAGAAGTCGTCCATTGCCAGAACTTCCCGGGAGCAATCAATTATTCTATTTTTGTGACTCACAATCCCATCTGGGACACTTTCTGAGGTCTCACTGGTGATTGGTAAGCAGCAGACATAATAGCTCTTCTGTTTTGATGGAAGTGTCCAGGGCACATTCATTAATGTTTGTGCCAAGTTTAATAAAGGGTAAAAGAGGGCACATGACTCTCGTGAGGGTATGTCTAGACAGCCATCACTGGGTGTCATGGCAGCTCAAGCAGACATACCTGAGCTAGCTTTAAACTAGCTAACTCGGACACCAGAGCAGTGAAGCTGCAGCAGCCTGGCCTGTACAAACCTACCCAAACTCTGGGTAATGACTTGTAGGGTTGCCCGCGCTGCATCTCACGCTGTTACAGCTTCACTCTTCCAGTACCTGCCCTAGCCACATTAAAGTTAGTTCAGGTAGGTGGGCGTGACCTGCCCACTTAAACACTATTCTGAGGGTTTAAATAGGATTTAATTAGTGCACCTACCTTGTGCTGTCCTCTCCGCACAGGGGTGAATTTCACCCACACAGAATAGAACCTCATCGAGACAACCTAACATTTGCAGAGCTTCTCTTTGTAACATGGCATTTAAGACAACACACCCACGATGTTAAACCGGGAATCAGAGATGTCCCATGTACTGCTCTTTCACTTGTACAAGAATGTATATCTTAAAGGGAGGGTGGGAAATACGTGGAAAATCACTTCCTATTAACCTGGGAATCCCTAAAGAAAAGACACGGAAAGACACAGGAGCCCTGAACTGGATAATAACTTGTAGGCGTACACAGCAAGGAGAAACGAGAGCCCCATAATAGCTTTAAAGGATGCAAATTTATTACAAGTTCATAATTAGTTTGTCAAAGATCCACTCAGCAAATGCATTTCAGAGTACTGTAACCTGGCTGTATCATATATACAGAATATTGATTTGTGGTTATCATCATGAGTGAATATTAAGTGATGTAATATTGAGGTTCTTGCACATCTGGCTGCCCACATCACCCTCTTCATCTCTGTTATATTATATCTACGAGTGGTCATTACTCACAGTAACTAATTATTAATTATCAGGGGGTAGCCATATTAGTCTGTATCCACAAAAACAATGAGGAGTCTGGTGGTACCTTAAAGACTAAGATTTATTTGGGCATAAGCTTTCGTGGGTAAAAAACCCACTTCTTCAGATGCATGGAGTGAAAATTACAGAAAATCTGTAATTTTCACTCCATGCATCCGAAGAAGTAGGTTTTTTACCCACGAACGCTTATGCCCAAATAAATCTGTAATTATCAATTAGTTTCCCATTCTGCTGCCTCTGACTGACATGAAGTCCTCAGCTTTAATAAGAATGAGACAGACGTGGTTATCCTAAACACCTGGAGTAACCAGTTAATTACAAATAGTAAACAGACAGATGGCTGACCCGTGGCTGACACTGGGAGCAATGTTCCCTCTAATTTTTGACAGGACGTGTACGCAAAATATTTCTTATGTGCAAATTTTTGAAGCAGAGTTCAAATTTGTGCGCCCTGAGGCAAATGCACCCAAGCGAGTTAAAAAGCTTATACATTTAAAAAGTTTTAATTTGCAATTTGTGACAATAGTTTTACACCATGTTATTTTATAAATGTAATTTTTAAATACTTAGAAAAAGGAAATTTAACTTCCTTTCCCTTTCCTCCCCTTGCCAGCTAGTAGAATCTGGCTGTGTTGATAGATGGTGGGCAACAATGTCAAAAGTCGCCCGTAAATGATATTTCGGCCTGGCTCCGATGTAGTATTTCATTTTTTGAGTGCGCGGTGTTTCGCCGTGTGCGCGGGGTTTAGGATCTCTGTGCGCGCGCACTCGCGCACAGCTTAGAGGGAACGGTGACTGGGAGGGGTATAGCCATCTACGAGACAGTGCCAAGGAACTTATGTACCAGCTTCCGTGAATATTGTGCCTGCTGACATTAAACCAGATTCCAGCTTCACTGCATGCGCGTGCCCCTTGAGTCACACGTACATGTATGTTTCACCCCAATCAGAAGATTGCTCCCATTGTACACATCACTGCGCCACCTTGATGGCACAACCATCAGATGTTGCACTGCCCTGCATGCTGATCGGGTATACGATCAGGGTGAGAAGCAATGCAGAGAATAAAACCGCTTTACATCTTGTCCTGCACCACTGCCCCCCACCTGCAATATTCCCTCTCACTGGAACTTGCCCTGCTCTGTCCAGCCTTTCTAAGCTGCCAAATCTGATATCCCAGTAACAAATGCCTTAGTCTTGGGTCTCCCTCTAAGCTGTGGGCATCATAGAATTTAGTGGCTCACTACTTCTGGGGTAGACAAGCTTTCAAGCTACACCGAGCTCTTCCTCAGGTCTGGGAAAGGTACTTAAGAGTGTCACAGCTAAATACAAGATTGAACAGACAGAATATCTGCTAGTTACTTATGCTAAACTAAGGGACCATTCAAGGTGAACTGCACCATTAACACCCCTGTAGTCATAGGACAAATGACGGGGGGGGGGGAGTTAGTGGGTTACACATTGTTGTAATAAGCCATAAATCCAGTGTCTTTAAGACCACGATTTTTATGGTCTAACAGAGTTATGAATTTAAGCTCTCAGGCTTGGATTTTGAAAGTGTTGTGCAGGTTTCCTTTGAGGATGACTGATAGGTCAGATAGAGAGCGATCGCTTTGTGAAAAGTGTTCACCCACAGGTGATAGGGTGGTTTTGTCTTTTATCATTTTCCTCTGAGAGTTCATTCAGGAGCACAGTGATTGTCTGGTTTCACTCACATAGCTGTCCTTGGGGCGTTTGTTTAGTGCATTGGATGAGGTATGCCATATGTTGTGATAGGCATGTGTGGGACCCATGGATCTTGAAAGGTGCGTTATGGGGGATGTTGCTCATTGTAGCAGTGGGGATACATCTGCAGGTTTTGCATCTGTTGTTCTGGCAGGGTCTGGTGCCGTTCTGAATTGGTGTCCTGGTCTGTGGGGAGCTCACTCTGATGATGAGCTTGGAGAGGCTGGGGGGTTGTTCTGATCAGATAATAGGAAGAGGAAGAGCTTGAAAGCTGTGTAACTCGAAAACATCTCTCTCTCTCTCTCAACAACAGAAGTTGGTCCAGTAAAAGATAATTCCTCACCCACCTTGCCCCTAATATTCTGGAACCGACATGGCTACAACAATACAGCATACTACAGGGGTAGTCATTTCGCTTGTAAATCTAGAGGCGCTGAGCATCACCCCTGTAAAATGCAGCTAGGTGCCATAGTAGTGAACACTCTATAAATGCCGGTGATGCAGACAATAGAAATATAAGGTGCTGCTTTCCTGCCCTCCCTGTGGAATCATGTTCTTCTCAAGAAAGGAAACCCACTCCCACACCAGTCTGCTTTCACAGATGAAACTCGTTAACCCAGCTACGTCTAAGGCTAACACGCAAAAAGATAGTCCTCAGTGCTGGGAACCGGCACTCTGAAAAATCGACATCAGGGTACAGAAGAACCCTTGAGGCAGCAGTGCCAAGGGTACGGTGCTGAAATGTTGCAACCACTAGATGGCACTTGCTTTCCATCCTAGGACTGATGGAGACTGGTCAATGTGAGCAGCAATTTATTGCTCAAGTTAATAAGTATGCAAAAAAATGTATTATCCTACACATTGTAATCCATCATCTCCATACAAATATTGCTCAAACAGATTTGCTGTGGCTAATAGACCTGAGAGAGAGAGAGAATCTCTCTCTCTTTCTATTTTGTAGCCAGTTAGATTTTTCTTTCCCCCCCCGCTCATTCCTTTCATTTCAGATAACCTGGTTATTATTGTAATTACCCGGAAAATAAAACTGTCATGGAGTGTCTTGGTACAAACAAACACTTACTTGATCTTTGGTTTTTGATGAAGAACAGCTTGAGACGTTCTTTAAAGGTGTTTTCATTTACATAGAACTCAACCTGTACCCTGTGAGCAGAAAGGAAAGAACTGAATTAACTGGGGCTGTCGTTAGTAAAGGTTTCATCTCAAAATCTTCCCACCTCTAAATACGTCCCATACCACCAGGTGCTGTTTCTATATTTCTCACCCACCTTTTCCAACAATCCATCCTGTGAACAAGATTTAAATAAGAAACCATTAGAATGCTGCACAGAGCAGTAACCAGATGTTACTCTGGGGCCCGATCCCAAGCCCGATTCTGCTCAATTTATGCTGCTCCTAAAGCACAAAGGGTCTGGAAAGCAGCCAAAACTCCTACGCAAACATTTACAGCCGAAAAATAGAAGATGTGCCAGGGTGTTGCAAGGTCTGGCCTGGGGCTATGCTGAACTATTCTGGCTCCAGGATGGGGAAGCTGCAGATGGCCCTCCTGCTCTGATCAGCTACTGGAAATGAGACCTTGCGGTGACAAAATGCAGCCATGATAATTACCTGCATACACATACTTTAAAAAGCCATAGCAACGCATTAACCTGTAAGACAGACTACGGCCTCTTAAACAAGCTGTGTGGTTAACCCAATCACCCCATGTGGGTACAAGCCGCTCCATCATGTCCCGCAGGACAACAGATTCTAGCTCCTCTAAGCACACAGGAAGAAAGTTCCTCAGCAAGTCAGGATCAAACCGGGAAGATCCATGTTAATACCGAGCGTGGTACCTACAAGCTGCTGCATTCAGAAAATTGGTGTGACCAGCTCCTTATGGCCATCACTTCACAGCAAGTGGGCAGACATGTTCTGCACTCACTTCCAGCGGCCACGTGATCAAGGGGAGCCTCCCGGAGGCCACACTGCAGTGGCCTAGTCTGGCAGTCGCAAAGACATGGCTAGCTGAGGTGGAAGCACTCCATGGGCCATACAGGGGAAGGATCCCTAATTGGTGAGATCTCCTCCTCAGCGGGCACAGATCCGTGTAGTCATGACGATACGCAGCAGCTGAAGATCTGGCCCTTAGTGTTGATAATGGATCAAGTTTTAACGTAACCAGAGAGTTAGGAAAGACCTCCCTGCTGCAGCGTGGACCCTGACTTCCCCAAAGGCATTCTCTGCCCTCCGACAGCCATTTGCGCTCACAGCCCTTTCCTACAGCACCTGGGCAAAGGGAGCGACCGATAACACCTCACTCCTTGGCAACCCGTTAGAGACCCAGCACCATGTCACACATGGCAAGGGCCACAGCACAGAGAAATGGCCATGGTTGCCTGACAACTGGCAAATGAAACAAAAATGGATGCATTTGTCAACCAAAGTCACCTGGGAATCCAAAAGTTCCCCATAACTGTTAACTTCTTGGGCAAAGGATAGATCACCCCACTCAGAGGAGGCGGTCCCCATTCCTGCCACACCCTACCATTACCTCTATCTGCTCTGGAGCAAACTACAAGTGCCTTCCTCTTGACCAAGCCCTTCCCGCTAGCTGAAGCCCTCTGAAATACAGCACAATAAATCTCCCTGCGAAGGCAGTTCAACCACAACGGGAGCTGCTGCAGCATCAGTGGGTGAGAGGAATGTGAGAGAGGATCTACAGACCCAACCCCGTGGATTTCGCTGGAGGATTTGCCTATGTGAGGACTGCAGGTTCAGGTAACAATACATCCATGTCTTGTTTTCGAAAAGAAAAACACGTGCCATTTTCAAGTTCCTAAGAGGATACCCACCAGAGAACTAAAAACTGTTTTTAAAAGGTACTTGCCCATGTTCCTTTAGGGCTCCCAGGTGAAAATATTTTATAGTTTAACCAGAAAATTGCACTGTTACCCAAACTAAGTAGAACAGCTGCCTTCTTTGCTGGCCATTGTCAGCATTATTAGCTACATGTTAACTTCATTATGGAAACATAATTAATGTTTAGTCTGATGAGACTGCTCTGCCCAAGAACGGTATGTAAATCTTCAATGAGACTGGCTGGATTCAGTGTTATTATATTGTTGCTTGTTCATCATGTAGTCAGTTATTTTATCTACTATTCAGTCCATTAGGAGGTTCTTGCTTCAACTCACTGTATGCCATATTTTAACACGGCATGTTGATAGCGGATCTAATCTTGTTAAAGGCCACCAATGACTTGTTTTCTGTGTAATGTTCCAGGAATAATCCTTCCAAATTCCTGACCAGAACTTTGGAGCAACCAAAGAAACACTGCTTTCCTTGAAAAAAGAAAAGGAGGACTTGTGGCACCTTAGAGACTAACCAATTTATTAGAGCATAAGCTTTTATGAGTTATCTGATGAAGGAAGCTGTAGCTCACGAAAGCTTATGCTCTTATAAATTGGTTAGTCTCTAAGGTGCCACAAGTCCTCCTTTTCTTTTTGCGGATACAGACTAACACGGCTGCCACTCTGAAACCTGCTTCCCTTGAGAATTTCTCCCAGGTTTTACACTGAGCCCAGTACAAGCTGGGAAAGGATTTTAGGAATTGAGTGAGTGCAGTGCAAATAGCCATCCAAGATCTGAAGGGCTTCCAGGGACTCAGTCTACAAGAAATTCAAGCCAAAAATTTGGAGCACTGTTGCTTCACACATCACTGACTTCCAAAGTACTACATATAAAATATGAATGTCTTTCTATTTCAAGTAGAGGGTGGTGCCTGGTTTTGCATCGTGACTTTCACCCAGGTAAAACTAGATGGGGCTTGGTTTGTTTCGTTTTCACTTTATTGCAAGATTTACAATATTCAAATCTTCTCCAAATAGCTTCAATTCCATTACAACCTCCCCAACTCATACCTCATCTCTCCTAACCACCCAGCCTTGCTCTGCATTCTGAGTTTGCTCCTGTACACTCAAAGCTGAAAAGATTTAGGGGGTCTTTAACGCTGTCACTATTGCAACAGAATGAGAGTGGTCATGAGGCGTCAGAGATTCAAAGGAACGTCCTCGTATGTTGAAAGGCAGGGCTTGCCCCTTGTAGCAGCTATGTTCAGCAGGACTGAAGCTGTTAAAAAACAAACCAAGTCTACAAGACGACAAATTACCTCTGTTGCTAAGATACCTGATTTGACCATTCCAGCCAAACCTCCAATTGCTGCCAATTGCCTCTGAATTTTACTTGACATTTGGGTATGTTGATGGTTTATTGTATCAAAGGAATAACAACGCCTGACAGGCAGGGAGTCTCCGGGGGACCTTCATCAGGCTTAAGGCTACAGATGGTGCTCAAAGGCCCTGAGGGGAAGGAGAAGCGATTAACATTAAATAAGGCCCAGATTCACCACAACAGCTACTATTCTACCCACAAAACCTCTCAGGCCACCTTCTTCTCCTCTACTACCCCCGACAGATACTTCCTCCAAATCCTATCTCCTGTCCCCACCTATAGACTTGCTTCTTTCTCACTTGGACAGTCCCGGTCCACCCGAGCTCACTCGGGCCTGGCTCAACATCCCGTTTCTAAGTTGTACGGAGAGGAGAACTCAGCAGATTGTTCTGCCTCATGACGAAGGGAGATGGAAGCACAAGTGCATCAAACTCAGAGGTCAAAGTCAGGCAGGTCAATACCTAAGCACCCAGAAGCCGTGGGAAGGAAGGTTTCCCGTCAGTTACATGTGTTATTTCAGAATTTATAAGGCCAAAGTCCAACCCAAAGCCAAGGCTCAAGCAAGGTCTGAATTTTATCCTGGATCCTCTGCCTAAAGATCAAGAAGGCAACTCAGCGAATGCCCTGTACTTCAGCCATTGTTTGTGGCTGACCTTATAGTCACATGAATAAATGGCACAATGGGGAAAAGGGAGGTGATTTTAATATGAAGTGCAAATCTCACGCCTGGATGCTGGTGCTAAAACTGAGACAGGCTGGCAGAAGTCAGAGTCACAAGCCTAAGAACCAACCTGAGGGTGCAGATCTGGGAATCCATTGCTCTGTTATCCAGGATGTGCAACCAAAACCAGTCCCCTCCCTTGCAATACCTGCATGACAACTGCAACTATTTCCATTTTCATCTGCAAAAGCGAGGGAACTGAAACCCTAGACTTGTTCTAAGATGCCCAAGGCTGTGGGGGAAGCAGAGTTCAACTGCCGTAAAAGTATCTAGAGGCCTTTACAGACACTCTTGAAGCACCTCTCTTTGGCATTACTGCAGCTTCCCAGGTTGTAAATTACAGTTAGATCTGCTAATCAGAGCATAAAGGATTTTTCTGTAAATTAGCAATGGCTCTGTGTTTTATATTATAAGCAAGAAGGAGCCCATTAGTTACTATTAAACCTAGCAAAGCAGCCAAGTGTAGTGAATTAGCAATCTCTGTGCTTCACTGCATGCTGTCTTTAGAATAACTGCTATTCTTCTTCTTATTATTATTATTTAAAACAACAATAAATTACCAGAAATAGTTGAAATATGATTGGGGACTGAAATGAAATGACCCGGGCATGAAAGTGGAGAGCTGCGGTTGTCATGCCATCCTCCACTATCCCATTCCTTTGCACCTATGTAACTGCCTGCACATATGGGGTTAGGTCTCGCCAAAAATTCAAGGCCTGGCACAGCCTGGACAGGAAGATTATTTAAAAGGAAGCTGGGCTATCAGCTTTAACAGCAGGGACAGCTAAATAAATACTTACTAGGCAAGAATGCCGAGCTGCTGAGGCATGGAGAGCAAGAGGGTTTTTTTAGAAAACCTGGTCATGGTTTCAGAATCCCTGTCCCGCCAGGGGGGTCTACCAAGAAGCGCTGACATTTTGATGTTACTGTCCCCAACCCTTCTGCTGGGAAGTCATGAGACGTACAGGAAGCAAAGGTCACCTTTGGAGTGAATGAGAGATCAGCTCCTCTGAGCTGTTTTCTGGTAAACTCTCTTACTAAGTTAAAACTATTGTTGGTGAATTTAGGACTGTTCAATTCATGTATAAATATAACTTTATGAATGGTAAGATCATCATCCCCAGTTACAGTAGCCAGGATGAAAATGTGGAAGGGATAGAAAAAACCTTACAAACTTCAGGCCACAAGCCGACTAACTTCCTGGGGCCAG